GGGGTTGGGGCAGGTGTGGGTAGATGCCGCAGGTTTGGGGGAAAATACAGCAAGTGTCACTTGCGATGCTGATTCCTGATTCCTTATACGGGGTGTAGAGTAGAGTAGCGTATAGATCGAGAGGGATATCCCCCTGCGGTCTTTTTTTGCGTAGACAAAAAACCCCATCGACTACGTTTTTCAAACATCCCACAAATAGGCGAACTGGATATGGTATGGATGGATATACAATTCCTTTTTTTTTCTTATCTATCTTCTGAATTTTCATTCGGGAAACAAGGACCGAGGGAGGGGGGGGGTTAACCAGATGATCTGATGATCACACTTATCCAGCAGCAGCAGCAGCAGCAGCAGCACCAATCAACCAGAGATGTAAGTCCACATTTCCCACCGTCTGTGCTGGTCTGCCTCGATAGTTTTATTGCACAGTGCTCGGGAGAGAAAAAGTCACGCGGTGTCTCGCTCGCCTGGGGGTAAGTTGTGTGATTTCCATCTTGGGTCGCATCGCCATGACCATCATAATCGTCCACCATGGTCACCATTATTATTATCTTCTTCGTCGGCAAAGCATTCTCCTCCTCCTCTCCTTCTTCTTCTTCCTCCTCCCACTCGTCATCGTCTGGCGTCCTCCCCATACCCTCATCGATCACTTGCCCATTTCGACGGACCGGGCCTGGTCACGTCGACCCCGAGGCACCCGAGTATGCATTGATGAACCTGAAGATCTCGTGATGCCAGACTCGGCTGTTCTCGCGGTTCAGGACCCTGTACATCAGAATTGAAATTGGTTAGCCGCTCAGCAGGCCCCCATCTGTGCACGTACAAATCCCAGAGTCAAACAAAAACAGGGGGGAAAAAAAGGAGTCGGCCAAAAGGGGGAAGAGCTGCGCTGTGCCCTAGCCAATGACCATTCATGACCCCGTCAAAGGCAGCCCCAATAGGTGGAAGAAGGAAAGAGAGAAGTGATAACCTACCAATGGCCCTCGTCCGGGAAATTCAAGAAGCGGCTATCCACCCCCAGCTCCTGCAAGACATTGAACAAGAACACGCCTTCGCTGACGGGCAATCGATAGTCCTTGGAACCGTGCACCACGAAATGTGGCGTCGCGAAGTTTCTCGCATATCTGATCGGATCGTATCGCTCGTAGTTGTCTCGGTTGTCCCACAACGTGCCGTTAAAGTCATGCTGCATGAACCATAGTTCTTCCGTTGTGTATTGGTTTAGTGTGCTTGTCACGCCATCGTGTGTAACGAGGGCTTGGAATTCTCGACCGAGGTCGTGCCCCTGAATCCAGTTGACCATGTAGCCGCCGTAACTTGCTCCGGCCGCAATACCGTTGGCGGTGTCTACGTAGGGGAATTCTTCAGAGGAGTTGATGTGTTCCCAGCCTTTAACTAGGTCATCGTAGGGGTAACTCCCCCAATTATTTTGAATGGCGTCGGTGAAGGCTTGGCCGTACGAGGTGCTTCCCGTGGGGTTGATGGCCACAACAACGTAGCCTTGGTCGGCCCAAGTCCGCAGGTTCCATCTCGTGGACCAGGAATTCAGCCAGGCGGACTGGGGCCCACCGTGGATGAGGAAGGCGAGTGGATAGGTGGATGTATCGGTGAAGCTCTCTGGATAGACGATCCAGCCGTGGACGGTGGTGAAGTTTCCTTGATACCAGAAGTCGGAGACGTCTTCGGGGCCTAGGCCGGAGAGTTCGGGGTCGGTGGAGTTGGAGGTGAAGAGCCAGGTCTTATCTTCTGGGGTGGCGATGTAGAAGTCGCGCGATGAGTAGATACTTGACGAAGAGACGAGAGCTGACGAGTCGGGAAGGATGTGGAATGCTGCGATGACCCCGGGGTCAGAGTAGTTTGTTGGCACATAGTCTGCGCCGGCATCTATCGGCAGACTGAACAATCGTTCGCGGCCAACATCTTTAGCCGCCACAAATAGTGACTGGCCATCTGGGGCCCACCGGAGCTGGTCAGGAGATCGGTCCCAGTCATCAGCCAGCTCTGTGACGGTGATGCTATCATCTAACCGCGCAATGTAGATTTTGTTCTTGTCTGATTCGTAAGTTTCGCCGTCCATTTGGAAATAGGCAATGCTCGAGCCATCGGGAGAGAACCTTGGAGCAGCTGAAGCACCTCTAGCGTTTTCCGGCGTTGCAGAACAATTGTGGCAATTGAAAGGAGCAGCGACAGCTGAACCGTCATGAGGTACGAGGAAAATGTAGCTGGCTGTGTAGTTTGCGTACGGCAGCTCTGGCGCTTTGGTTAGGAAGGCCACTGTGGAGCCGTCCGGCGTGATATCGTAGTCTCCACTATCTCCAAATGGCTGCACTGGCGTTTCGGCTTGTCCTTCGATGCCAGCCAAGAGATCCCGCAACTCTCCTGAGAAGCTCCATGCCGAGGATGAGTTTGAAGAATCCGAAGCTGGAGTTAGTGTGCCGGCAAAGAGAGTGAATGTTTCTGGTGTGAGCCAACGGTCCCAATGACGAACATATATGCTGTCATACAGCCGAGCTGTGCTTGCAGGCGTTTCTGCCAGAGCTTCATTGTAGGCTGTACCATTTGGATACCGCTGGCCGTTCATCAGAAAGTTGATTGCACCACTCTGTGTCACGGCAGCTTTCAGTCCGGACAAGGGCGCTGGAATCGACGCAACCATGTACCTGATTCCTTGTCAGACCTCTCATCACAACATGTGACTAGAACTGTACCCTTGATCGAACGATGAAGTATCTGAAACCCACAACTCGACGCCGCCGTCAACTTCGCGGTTGGTGCCATTGACATAGAGAACGCTGGTGTCGGTTGGTCCTATCCAGATCATTTCAGAGATCTCAGAACCATTGTATAGCAGGCTGATATCGCCCGTATTCAGATCCAGCAAGTTCCAAGAAGTGGATGTATTGTGCGTGTCGAAGGAGTAGCTGGTTGAAGTGAAGGCTGCCAGAGTCTGGCACAGAATAGAGCGGTTAGACCCCAAGCTTTCCGTCGATCTCCTCGTTTGGAGGATAGACCTACTCCTGAACGATTCGGTATTGCTTCACTCCGTCGAGGAGCCGCGAGCATTTGCCTGATCAGTCGTCAGCTGTTCCCCTTTAGTCCCCGTCTCCACCTTCCACATACTCTGGAGTAATAGCGAGCACATGGGGAAGAGCAGCCAGCACGGCAGCTGCGCTGGCGCAACTTCGTAGACCCAGCATATTTTCTTCTGATTGACAAACCCACCGTTGATGTTGATCGAGATGCCAAAGGTCCAGCGCAATTCTCGATGGCGGGAGAGGGGAGAAAAGTTAGAAGTTAGAAGTTAGAAGTGTTCACAGCAGAACCTACCAGAACCTACCTTCCCATCTTATCCTCACAAGACTCCGCAGTTTGGCCTCTTGAAAGCTCGCTCAGCCGCGGTGATCATGCACAACCTCTTCCTTGCTGCGGGGACAACCATGATGCCACTCATGCATGCGGAGAGAGATCCCTACACCTCAGCAGGCGAGGTGCGTCAAGATACATCATCAAGATACATCAAGCTGCAGTCCGGTCACCAATGGAGATGCCCGATCGGACTTGACGACCAGCTAGAGAGGCTCTTTGATCCTCCTTTCACCCTCGGTTCCAGCAAGGGCAGCGCCGCTTGTTCTTTTCGAGAAGGTGATCCGGCAAAGCTTAATACCAAACCCCTTTAACGTTACACTGCTTCTTTCGCCGAGGAAGCAAGCATTGGCCCTTGGCGACAAGGGTGCTGAAAAGAGAGCTTCAGTCCGCGGTGGGGTTCTGAGAGCGCGTCAACATGCCCATGGTACGAGAACATGAAGAGAGAAAAGGTAAAGTGGTGATTATCATTCTAATATCCCCTCCGTGTCAAACACCGTGCAGTAGATGCGGCAGATGGCAAGAGCCATACTACATATGTTCAACAGGTATCATTGAACTGAAATCAACAATCTATCTATCTGTAGACTGACTAGCTTTTGGACAATCCCATCCACAACCAGACACTAAGATCGAGCAAGTCGCCACTCAGCCGACCTGTGCTCCAGACGCCATAAGCCAGGCTGGAGCTGAAGCTGAAGGCCCCTCTGAAAACTGCCCCGGAGGTGGTAAACAGATCTTGTCCACTGCTGCCGCTATCTCGTCCATATTTGAGACGCCAGTACCATCCCATAGACCCTTATTTTGGGGATGACTTGGAAGGCGGCCATCCAGGACCAGACTTTCCAACTATGCCTCGCTCGGTGTGCCAAACACAAACCACAAACCCACTCATCTTAGTTTCTTTCGCATCATACATTACTTCCTTGCTTTCTTCTTCTCATATCAAGGATTAGATCCCCCCTGGTCAAGACTTCCTGCTGTCTCTTTATTTGCCGGAGTTGTTCTTCCACCTCAACATTTCTGCCAGACTAGCCAGACTGCAACCATTTCGCATGAAGTCGTGTTGAAGAAGTTCATCCGCCGCGGCTCTGCTCTTGACATCCACACAGAGGCAGACGCTGAGGAATGCCTTGAGCTCCCGGCTGAGCTTGTTCGGATTCTTTAAACGAGGAGTTCCATTGGTGGCAATGAGGAACAATGCCTAGAAAAGCTTGTTAGAAAGATGCATCCAACGGAATTAGAGACGACTCGGTCAGTACCTTGAGCGGTTCTTCATTAAGATAGGGTGGTTCGGATTCAATCATCTCGATCGCCATGATACCGAGCGACCAGATGTCGACCTTGGGACCATACTCCTTCTGCTTGACCACCTCGGGTGCCATCCAGTACGGCGTGCCTACCATGGTAGCACGCTTCGACTTGGACTCGGTCAGCTTGGCGCAAAAGCCGAAATCAGCTGCACAAGAGTTAGCTGCTGTTCCAAGTTCCCCTCCCATAAACCCATCATGCGTGATTGTGCCAGGATCTCTTAATAAGCCAAAAAGGTGGGCAGAGTCTGGGTCCTGGCCAATCGACCAGCCGCTCGGCAAAATGGAGGCGGAGGGTGAAGCAGAGGATAGGGCGGTGAAAAGACTTACTGATCTTGACATTTCCAACACGATCCAGGAGGACGTTGTCGGACTTGATATCACGATGAATGATATCTTGACTGTGCAGATGTGCCAATCCCTTACAGGTTTCGAAGCAGATGGTGGAAATCTGGTCTTCAGTGATCACAGGATTGTTGTCGATGACATCCGTCAATGCACCACCTTCCATAAACTCCATGACCACCCACAATTCATTGTTCTGCTCTTGGAGGAACGAGTCCAAGAAGTTGACGATGTTGGGGTGCTTGCTATCTTTCATAACGATAATCTCGTTCACGATGAGTTCTTTGCGTGGTTGATTGCGCAGATCCATCTGTTTGATGGCAACCTGCCCCTTTGGACCTTGCGTCCGGTAGATCTCACGTGCTATGCTTGACGTAGCACCTTCCTTGACACGTGCCACATAAACAGATCCTGAGGCGCCTTGACCAATCTTTTTCTGTTTCGAGTACGATTCCAGTGGGTTATCTCTCGACACGACTTGCTTGAGCTTCGCCATGACTTCGGATTCCGACATGCTCGACATGCGAACCTCCTTGCTTCGCTCCTCCGTCGGCTTCTTCGTCGTCAAAGCAATCTCGGCTTGCTGTCGTGCGTCAGGAGTAGCTGCTTGTTTAGTGGGGACTTGATTCTGCTTGTTGGAGACATTGAGCGGCTTGACCTGCTGGACCGGAGCTGGCAGGCGACTTGACTGCGTTGCACCATTGATACCGTTTGGAGGGTGGCGAGTTTGGGATTGCTGACTTCGCGGGTCTGTCCGGTAAGCATCATTTGATGATTCCTGTCTGGCTCCATCCGGAACTCGCCCATCACCACCAGCGGATGGCTCAAAATGGGGACGGGCCGGTGAACGAGATGTGCTAGTGGCACCATCGGGGGTGGAAGAAGCGGCTCGCTGAGATGTTGTAGGCTGCCTGGATGAGCTTTGCGGCTGCCTGTCTCGCTCTCTACCCGGGGCTTGTGGCGCCGCTCTCGCGGGATTGTAACGGCTTGGGGAATTATCTGCTCCATAGCCGCCGATCTCTTGCTGTGCCAGTGGTGTCCTCGACTTCGGTATCGATGCATTATAAGCTTCCAGATCGCGGCGAGCTTGTTCTTCCTCACGCTCACGCTTTTCTTCCCTCTCACGGTCTTGCTCGCGTCTGCGCTGGACTTCCCGAACCCTACGAAGTTCTTCCTTTCGAGCAGCTTCTTCTTGTCGTCTCTGCTGTTCTTGATTGGCAATCTCCTTGATCCTTGCTGCATCAGCTTCCATATCATAGCCAGACTTGTCAGTTGGCACCCGCTGTGAGCTTGGCTTAGGAGTATTGTTGCCAGATCTAGGAGGGGTGATCTCTTGGTAATTGGTGGGAAAGGTTTCTGCCCTGGAGGGTGGAGCCGGTCTTGGAGGTGCGATCGATGTGCCTACGCCGCCAAGGCCAAATGGGCGATTTTGTGACATCTCAGGAGCGTTTTGCCCGGAAGCGGAACCAGCAAAGAGTTCCGGATGTTGCTCGCGCATTTTGTGGTCAGAGTAGAATTCCAACACCTCAATGACAGCTTGCGGGTTCTTCTTGTAGTCTTCTTTGGTGATTGCTGATGCAGTCAGGAGCTTCTCCCACTCGACCGGCAAGCCCACGAAGCCTCCTGTCTGAGGATCAAAGCCGACATGAACCCGATGACTGAAGTTTGTGGGATTGCTCACCCCTCCCATCTTTGGACAACGTACGTAGATTTTGTCGATCCAGTCGTAGATTTCATCATCGTTCCTCACCTCACACGTGATGGTTTTGGCGCCTTTTTTGGCACTGGCAGTGCGCGTAATTTCGAAGGCCATGCGTGTATCCTCAGAGCGCGAGACGCCCGCAATGGTGTTCAACAAGATGGAGTGCATAAGGTTTCCTTGCTCATTCTTCATGAAGTCAAGTCGAAATTCTCGCAGAATGAGGTATCTTTGATTCCACCCACCCCAAAACTTGTCCTCTTTGCAACGAACGTAGCCTTCTTTGATGACATTCGTACTGGACTGGGACTTGCTGCTGATCAGCGAGAGCGAGCTGCTGTTGCTGGAGAAGTAAGGCGCAGAGGTTGTAGATGGTGCTGGTGAATTGGGTCCGAGGGACATCTGATCAAATGAGGTAACCTGCGGTATGCTGCCAGTTGAGGCACCTAGGTTTAGACGAGGACGGTCCGTAGGAGGTCGAGGAGCTGGTCCCGGGTTCATAAATTGCCCTGGGGCGTAGAGACTGGAGAAAGTTAGCTCTGCGCACCCAGCCGAAACATGAACTCTATTCTGGTATTTGTTCAGGTTCGACTTCGAAAGGTGAGGTGGATTTGAAAAGGACCGCTCTCGGCACACACTGGCCTCATGCGACAGGCTGCACATTGAGATGAATCAAACTTACTTTGGAGGGTGTGAGGAAGTCATTTCTGAGCAGGCTCGGGCTCTAATTGCAATATCGGATACACAGTCCAAGTACACAGTACCAGGCCGACCTCTGAGAAATGAAGGACGACTATTCAAGGATGTAGCCAACAACTTGCAGCTCAAATTGCAGGTATGTCTTGTGAAGCCGAAAGATGAGTAACTGTATCTGCGAATCTGCCAAGTCGAAGCAGTCTCCTTGCGCTGTTGGGAGTTCGCCCTCTATCCCGCTTCGATTTCAATTTTTCCCAGTAGAATGGCCCCACCAGCTTACAATTTCGGTTCCCAGTGTGTCGGGAAATGGCGAAAGATGAGTGCTCCTGGGATATCAATGTTCGGCGAAGGTATTGGGTAGAAGACTGGCGATTTGGGGCGGGTGTCAGAAGTCAAGATTGGAGCGAGTGACTCCTTGTGATCGAGTTGAAGGCCTCGGCCAGGGCAGCGAGCGGATTTGCAACCTCTATTCACAACCTCTATTCATGGTACGATTTCCATTGAAAGCCGCGCCTACTATTCGGCTAGAATGAAGGTTGTATGCGGTGTTCAAGCTGTGTTTCTCTGGTCTTAACGAGAGTCCATCTCCGAGCAAGAGGGTTGGAAGTTCCTTTCCGCGGCCCAAAAGAGTCTAGGTGTAGAAAAAGCCCCCCCTTAGGGCCCTTACCATCTTGATACCCCCCCTCCTGTCGCCTCAGCAAGGATCCGATCTCGTTATTACCTGGCCGCCCCACCTAAAGGAAAACTCCTGCCGCGCACTCAGTACTCACGGATCCATCCAGCCATTCATCTCACTCCCAAACCCTTGCTGAAACAAAACATCCGCCCTCCTCGGCCCAGGGCTGAAGCAGTCTATGGCAGTTTCAGAAAAACTTAGCTCGAGATTAACATTTTTCAGACTAATTCCATGCATGTTGCGCTGTCTCGATCAACACAGCACAGCCTCCCACCCAGTTGAGTGCACTCTGTCTGCTGTGCACTGGGGGGTTTCTGGATTTAAATACAATGTTTGCCCTTTAAGCTAGCGACGCTCTATGAGTTCCATCAAATAATCTCTCAACACGTACCCACTTACTGCGAAACCCCTTTTGATTTTGTCATCATGATCTTACTCCCATCTAGAGTATGCCGCCGGGTGAACTGCGCACCGAGCAGAGCTGGGTGAAACCATTTATAACTTACCAGTGAGGGTTGAACAAAGGACGACACCGCCTGGACTTTTGACAAGCCTGCCAAATATTGTGTCAAGAACTGCACCCAGTGTACCTCCTAAGAAGATTAGACCGGATCCAACCGCACTGGGCAACTTGATCTCTAGGTTGATTTGAAGCAACGGGTCATCTGTCAATGCATCAGTTTTTGTTAACTTGTTTCCAAGGATCATTAAACTAACAAAAGCACGCAAAGTTGTCTCTTTGCAAAAGACTTTGACCATTGATCATGCCTCCAGTGAGGTCTCCAACATCCAAACCCGCAAATGTATCCACACCATTTGTATTGCCACCAATTGAAAGCAGTGTTGTATCATTCGAGATCAAGGCAGAACAATCGCTCACAAAGAATTCGTAAGCGTTTAAGGATTGGGCCGTTTATGACTTGACTCGGTCAGCGGCATGGTGGTCAGAGCGACAATCTCCTTCTGGGGGAACCCAAGCAACGAAATGTCATTTGGGAAAGTGTGGGACTCACCAGTTTTCACGTATCCGCTCTCTGTCGAATTCTTTTGCGGCAGTTTCACACTTGGCCATCAATGCAATCCCGTTCCAACTTGCAAGAACAGGTCCGGTAAGAGTGCCATTGGGTGCTTTGGAGTAAAATTGCTGAAAAGACGCGGGACAAGAGTATAAGCACCAAGGTAGCAACGAGCGTGGCAAAAGGAGCCCGAAAAGAATAAGGGTTCGTGCTGATAGAGTTTTGCTTGCGGTATTTTGCCTAGTTAGCTATGATCTGGTAACTCTCGCACGTCTTATCAGGCTACGTTCTATCCAGAACCTCTGGAAGGTAGGGAAATCGACCGTAGATGCATCTAAACGCTTGTCTTTCCCAATCTGCATTGAAGAAGCTTGCATCGCCCCCGAATGAGTTGTATATTTGGGCCATTCCCAATCCTGATATACCGAGCAGTCTGCTCAGAAATGGACTTGTCGAGCAGTTCAAATATCCAAGATGGCTCCAAGGGTTCCGCAAGAAGACTTGATCGTCGAATCAACGGCAGGAGAAGTGCCGATGGAGAATCAAAGCCCTAATAATTCATCTCCATTGAACTGACCTTGAAAATACAAGATATCTGCGAATTCATCGGCCAAGCTGAAGACCGGTCGGCTGGCTGTGACACAATCGAGGAAGGTGGTATAGCCACTTCGATCATGATAGCCGTGGTTTGCAAGAGCATTTGGAGCAGGGCAGAGTCCACATGCTTGACCCGGCAGAGGGTCGGCAGAGGCATGAATGTCAGTCAGGTCAATACGCTGGCTTGGAGACCAGGAGAAGGCCGAGCAACTGAAGGGCACGCCAGCCGAGAGGGCAGGGTTTGAGGCGGCAGCCGAAGCAGAGGGCAGCATGACGTCTACCAAGATAAGGAATAGCTACAGAGAGGTCAAATAGGTAGAGGAGAAGCGTGGACAAAAGAAAGAACTGGGACATGATTAGAGATTGGCAAATTGGGTACACAGAGTGGCCAAAGTACGATAAATTGTAGTGAATTAAGTCTGAGAAGATGCCTTATGACCATAAGGGTTCTGAATGGGAGGACGGGAGGACGGGCTGAGTGAGCAACAATCAGACATAAGGAGATAGCAGAATTCATCTTACATCAGCCCACCTTGTTCTGAGACAGCACCAAATCCAGAGTAGGTGGTCAAGTAGGAAGCTGCAGCTGGCAAGTGAGCATGTGGGGATGTGATGTCTCGCTAGCAGCCATGTTGCGCTGCGTGCTGGTGTCTCTCACTCCATCTCTTTTAGATTCAGTCTCCTCCATGTAACGGCTGGTAGAATGAATGAGAAAGGGATGGATTTCAGTGCAGCTCTTTTTATGTCCGTACGCATTATTCTTTAGACTTTAATACTACTGCATTCTATCATCATACCTGCACGACGTTCCATCCCATAATAAAATCTCAAGCGAATAAAGTTGCGCAGCATTCAAGTTGCATGTTTGGACTCAGGTTCGGTGAACGCAGGTGATCGGTCGCGTCTTCTGTCCGCCTTAGGATGCATATTGACTTGATGGTGATGAATTAAGACATACGTAGCGTGCAGTAGGGATTGCAAGACAAACATGGGGTATCCTAAACTCAGCATTGACTCCGGTGCATCTCACACTGCCCAGACTCCTTTTGCTTTGTTAGATGCCTGCATTTTCCACCTCGATGCCGGCCGTCAGATCTGACAGATCGAACAAAAACCCATTATGACGGGTACCTGCTTGCTAAGAGATGTGTTTATTGGCATTAGCCTGCATCTTTCTCAGCGCTTCTTTATGCAAATCCTGCATATCACCGCTTCTTACTGCCTCAGCAAATGCATTTTCTTGGTGTACTTTGGTTGCTTCTGAGTAGTCACGGCTCATCTTAGACTGGCGCTTCTCAATCAACATCTCGGCCCTTCGGGTTTCAACAGCCTCTGTGGGGACAGAGGTCAACGCCATTTCTTGTCGCATCGATTGTCTCCATGTTGCAAGCATAGACTCACGCTTTTGCGGGGTCATGGCTACGGACGACCACTGCGGAAGGTGTGCGTCAAGATTGTTTGCCGCCCCCAACCGGGTTTCGGGAAGTAGAGTTCCGGGTTTTTGTTGCATGAGAGCTTTCCGCTGCGAGAGTGGCATGTCATCGTCATTGAGAGCTAACAAAGTCAAACGACTGGCAGAACGTAATGGCTCTTGCGCTTCCACGTTGTCTAGATTGCTGAGCGGACTGACAGATCGTGGTTGGGCTTCCTCTATCAAGCTGAGGCGGGAGGAGGATCGAAAAGGTGGGTGCGCATGCGTGATATCGGGTGGCATGGCTGTGCTCTTCGTAATAAATGAGTGTTTGTTCCGTAGGAGGCTGTCTCGCTGTGCCAGCAGAGTCGAGCCAGCTAAGGGTGCCAGCGAGCCACAGGATGCTGAAACCCGAAACTCAGCCTCTACGTTTTCATCAATAGGAGAAGTTTTCAGGTTATGACCTGGCATGGAAGTCGAGCAACTTCGGAGAGCACGTGCTCCAGGCGGAGGAAGTAGAGAGGCGGCAGAAGCAGACTCCGTTAGTCCTGCTGCAGATTCGCTCTTTTGCCTCAGTTGCGAGCTCGATGCCTGGAATCCATCTGGGTGGACTGGGCTGTCCAAAGACGAACGGCCCGATGGCACGGTTGAGCTTGATGCATTGGATTTACCTGAAACTATAGGGGTGAGCTTCGATGGTGCCGGAGCGCAAGATTCATCTTGCGCAAGCATTGGGGAAATGGCCATGGTCTTTGCGATCCGTTGCACCTTTTCAGCATGGACCGGCGCAGGTTGCTCGACCAGGTGTGCAGGGACTTCAGCCACTGCGTCCTCTGTGCTAACCTCTAGCTTGTCAAATTCAGGCTCATCCGCTGTAGAAATATGTTTTGCCCATTCGTTGGTACGGTACGACAACACAACATGTGAGAGCTGGCTGGGAACTTTATCCAGAGCCCCTTTCGTTAGAGACTCTGTGTTTGAAACTGCATCGATTGACAATGCTTCGTTTGATTTTGGTGTAATATCTTGCGCTTGACTGTCGTCTGTTCGTGACTCTGGTACGCTCGAGCGCAAGTGGGGAGACGTTGTGGCTTGTTTGAACCTGGCGTCATTGTGGTTCGAGGGAAAGAGTGCTTTGCTGGTTTGAGGCTCGGGTGATACTACCGCAGGACGTTGAAACTCTTCAGGATCAGAGTCATCTGCTGTTGATCTGGGAATGTCGGCTAGACTAGCTTTTACATCTTCGAGAGGCTGCAACGAATCAAAAAATGGCGTAATCACGACGTCGGGTAGTATATCTACTTCTGCTGCGCTTTTGTTCTCAAAGGGAATGGCATGTTCCTGGCCATAGCTAAGGGAAATTAGCTCTTCTCGTTCTTCATCGACTGTTGCAGCCAATGATGAGTCCTTGCTATAAAAGCCACCAGGGTTCATATCGTCCTCGTCACCTAGAGATGTGAACATTAGATTTTCATTGTCGTCAGATATTATCTCCACGCGCACGTGGGCTCCAGGCTTCTTAGCTGAAGAGATGGCAAAAGGCCGTTGCAGTATAGGTGAAAGTGGCGAGTGCAATAATTCAGCTTCCTTTGTGTTGACTGTGTTTGGGGCATTGGTGCTGTCATCAAGAGAATCGCCAGCATGCTGGAAAGAATTAGGATTAGGTCGAGAACTTGACGACTTCTCCTGCCAAACACCAACAGGAATTTTTGCCGCATCCTTGTCGTTCATGACTTCCGCTGGGGCGCTGGATCCTTCAACTTCTCGAACGCTCACAGACGCCTTCTGCAGACTGTTATCCTCCTCGGTTTCTAAGCCAGAGTCGATGGCTGCGGTATGCTTGCTCGCTTCCTGATCCCCGTACACAGCTTCCCATTGCGCCCTTTCTCTTTCATTTCCTTCTTCCAAACGACGTCCAATCGCTTCTTCCATCTGATTGCGTTCTCTTTCGTTCTCTAAGCGGTCTGCATCCCTTTTCTCTCGCCTATCTTTCACGACTCTCCATAGCTTGAGCTGCGATATCACTCCTAGGAAACAGATCAAAACTATAAATGCAAGTTCCACCCTCATGCCGCGGGTAATAGGATAGGTGTTTGTGTTGAGTGGAAACAGGTTGTCGTTGAGATTCCAGATGTAGAGCCAGAACTCCTTCAAGCCAGCCCTGCTGAAGCAATCGAGGCCTAGGGCAACCGCGGTTGCACCAGCGAAAGACGTGGCACCGATAAGGCCATACGGACGAGTGTAGCGACTGAAGGACAAGGCGTAGACAGTGGTGCTGAATGCCGCGATCAAAACCACCTTGCCCTCCGTGGAAGAGACGGTGCCCCCAGGCCTCAACGCGAGAAGCCACATGCTGAGGCAGAAGCCTCCCAAAAGACAGCCCAGACCTTCTGTGACTTCCTTGAAAATCAGAGAGCCAGCGCCAAAGATCACACCTGTCATGAATGCTGCCACAAGATAGGCCCCCTGAACGGCCATACGTACAGGCGGATTCATGACATAGACCACAAGTACTGTCACTGACAAGCTCGTCAGGAACGCCGAAGACAAGAAGATCTGTATCCATCTATTCTTTATACCGATCAAGGTATATGTAAATCCAGCAACGATGAGGAAGACGCCAGCAATTGAAAGGACAGGGGTTATTTTTGGCGGCAGTGGCAGTCCGCCTGGATGCTTCCCTTCTGCAACGTCCGTGACATTCGATGATGTCTGAACTGGTCCATTGACTGTAGAAGTGGCCGAAGGTACCGCATTGGTGCTTGTGGATGTTGAAAAGGATGATGCAGCATTTCCGGTATCAATCGCAGATGTCGCTGCTCCCGTACTAGTTGAAAACCTTGACGTGGATGTCTCCTGGGTCTCCGATGGCTCGTTCGAGGTAGAAGATGGGCTGGTTTCAGGAATTGTTGCCTCAACTTCCTGCCGGCGAGCAACAGCATTTGGACCAACGTCTGCGGTACATGCGCAGAGTATAACAAACGCACAGGGCCATATGAGGGCTATAGAAATTCGCATGTTATGGTAAGGCCACTTAAGCCCAAAGTATCAACCTTTGCCTGCCAAGAATGAGTGTTCGACAGTAACATGGACACTCAGAAGGATGGAGAACAACTTGATCCCATAACGAACGGGTTTCAACGGAGGAATGACGCATGGAACAGAGCACGAGATCGACATTGAGGAAGAACAAGGGAATTCCGCACCAGGGATTGTACGTGCAGTTCTGCAGCCCAGCAAAGTCGGTCAATTTCTCCATAACTATTCGGACTCACAACACGCCACAAGAAAGCTAGAACCACAAGGGTTACCATTGAAAGCTAGACACCCAAAGGATGCACACGTACTAGGGTAGGGGACGTGGTCCCCTAGTACTGTGGTACTAGCCAGCGAGACGAACTCAAAAGTAATGACAATTGTCAATTCATCATACCGGTGCAGCAGTGAGGGTGAGCTGCCAACCACAGCTTCTTGCCATGATAGGCTTAGGTACACTTGATCCAGGCACAAACATTCCCATTGCCAAATATTAGCTCGGCCAAGGAGAAACTAACGAAAACCATGTTTTCGTGTCGAGAGAACATTGGGGAGACCGAAGTCATATTTGGGTTTGAAGACCATAGGATATTAACCCTCGAAGCGATCGGGACTTTTAGTGCATATGCAGCTAGCTGCAGGCGCTGTGCAGGGTGTGGACATGTGCAATCTATGCAAACAGGCGAGCAAAGATGATCTTCATGAAGCTCAAGAATCAAGTGGCGGGCCATGACAGGAGAGAGCGGGAGGCCAGCAAGACAAAGCCCGCAGCCTACTCGAGTCGCTTTTGTGCGTGCAACAGCAGCCAGCCGGTTCTACGACTGAGATGGCTCAAGAGCCTCGCTGGCCCAATCGGTACGCACGTCAGGCTAGAGAGGAAATGATTGATCAAACCTAGGAAATTGCATGACGAAAGAAGAACGGAGCTCGGGTAGTTGGGGAAATATAAAACCTTGTTTCAGCCAAGGCATCTGAATTAATAAGCATGCAATTCTATGGGCACTTGGTACTGGCAGCCTGAGGGTAATTGGACCCACAAGCATTTCGGTCCGTCTTCCGGCTCCCCTGTTCGCTTCCTCGTCCCCATTTTTGTCCCCATTTTTGCCGGAGGACGCCTAAGAATGCTGAATAATGCCAGTCAGCCGCGGGTACTCGTACCACAGTGATGCGTGAACCAAGCTTAACGCAGCAGACATTTTGTTTCGCGTGCTCGTTCATTACAGACTTGATAACATTCCAACAGCCCAGATCAGCCAGCAGAGTCTTGATTGAAATAAGCGAGGTCAAGTCACTGCATAGATAAGGTAATTGGTGAGTGGTGATGGTGATGGTGAGATCTGAAACAGCGAGCGGAGAGTCGACGTCAAAGCCGCTACTCCCCTTCAGGCTTCAGCAAACTTACGTAGTAACCTGCAGTGCAGAGATTTTCATGCCGCAGCATTGGACAGGCAACTTACGATCCAGGTATCATAAACCTGGTCTTCTACTGCCCATACCGAAGACCAGTCATGCTGTCGACGATGTTAGTTCTCCAGGCCTTCACCTACAGCAGCCGTATGATGGGGTTTGATGGAGGAGCTATCCACCAGTTCTTGCAGCCCTCCACTCATGATGTAGTCTTCGATGCTTGTCACACAAGTACATCCTTGACTTTGCAGTTCGGGGAGCTCTCCACTGGCCAGGATTCTGACGCGCGGCCTTTACCACTCTCGTGACAGGCGAGAGCAAGATGCAGAACCCGGAGAGAGCCATTTTCGCTACAGGTAATTGGTGCTGCTTGATGATCTTTTTGCACATAGAGGAGGGTCTTATTCCCACAATTCCTGGCCCTGTACAGCGTGTGGACATGACGTGGAGATGTTCAGCAGCGCACCCTGAGCAAAGGCCATAAACTGCAAGCGAGCTGCTCCGTCCTTCTCTGCGAAACGAAGTAGCCACTACGTCGTACGGAGTAGTAAACCAGTCTCTCCCCACGTGCTTCCAGTAACCATCACGGAGTGGCTGTCTTATCGCGCGCAGGGATGAGGAGCGACTCAAGAGGCGAAAGATGAAACACTGCGAGATCTACAAATGATCGCATGATTACCATTCGCTTTTGGATTTCTGCCAATTGGAGGCTCCTTTGGGTAATGACCAATGGGACAAGCGGATTGAAGCAAAAGCAGTGGACATGGCATGAAATCGCAAGCGAAGATGACTGAGGGTCGTTTTCGATGTCGTGGGGATCTCAACCTTCAATCTCCTCAGCAAATCTAGGGCGACACCTCATATATTTCTGGGACCTTCTGAGAAGATGGCAACAATAATAACGAGCAGTGTGCAGGAAATAGATATGATATTTGATAATTGTGTTGTACTCGGTGGTTTATTATGGACCAGAAGGGCCGCAATTGCGGCAACGAGTCCGTGACGTAACGTACACTACCACTTGGCGAGACACCCCACTTGGCGAGACACCCCACTTGGCGAGACACCCCACTTGGCGAGACACCCCACTTGGCGAGACACCCCACTTGGCGAGACACCCCACTTGGCGAGACACCCCACTTGGCGAGACACCCCACTTGGCGAGACACCCCACTTGGCGAGACACCCCACTTGGCGAGACACCCCACTTGGCGAGACACCCCACTTGGCGAGACACCCCACTTGGCGAGACACCCAATTAAGGAAATAATGAAGCTGACGATACTTCCTATTTAAGCCTATCTGAGAGAATTCTTATGCGTAACGAATCCTCTCCACGGTGCGTAATTTGCACCCTGGAGGGCGCTCTGCCCTCTTTGGCAGCCCTGACCTCCTCAAGATTCCACGAACGCTGCACCCTCTCTTTTAGCATGCGTTTTGAGCGCTTTTTGACCTCTTGCTGATGAGATTGCTTGCGTAAATTGTTGAGCTCATTTTGAAGCAATTGCGCGCCAGCATGCTCTTGAATAGCTGCGTGGCTGAGCTTGCGTACAGAGCGTCGAGTTCGAGGACTAACTTTGGCCTCAATTTGCGCTTGAAGCTCTCGAATTTCATCTAGCTTCTTCGGAGTGCTATAGAGATGGTTAGGACCCTCTTTGATAGGCGCAGGTTGATACTCAGGCGTTGTACGGCTGAAATTTTGAATTTCAGCATCCTCTAGCAGTTTTTGCTTATTTGTTGGCCAAATCCCAGCTCTTTTCCATCCTGCGCGAATATTTCGCTCAGTAAATGCCTCTTAACGCGCTTGTACGTAAAGTACAGTAAAAATACTCTGATTGAGTGCTGCTATGCCGGTTGGGGCGTATTCTTCGACTACACGGCTGTACGCGCTTGAAAGTGGCGAAAATGGACCTACATCAAGAGGTTGAAGTTTGTGAGTAGCGTGCGCTGGCAAATAGAGAGGGTGGATGTTGTTTTCGAGGCAGTAATACTGAAATTCGCCAGTAATATGACTCTTTTAGCTATCAAGTATCAGAATAATATGCTTGCTATTTGACGTAATTAGAACGAATATTCGACGCAGCTAATTAATAGCTAGCTCTTCATCAGTCCATCCCTTAGGAGAAAAGGCCTATATAACGTTAGGGAGGTCCTCATGCTCTGGAAACATATGATGCTCAGGATTCTTGCCAGTAAAGATAAGATAGGGCTTAATAGCCTTTTCTGTATTTATACACTCGATAATAGAGACCCATTGAGTATTAACTGATGCTGGAGCCACTGGGCGACCTATAGCAGGGTCAAAAACAACGTATTTCGACGCTATTTGCCCTATCTGAAACCCTGTTTCGTCTATATTGTAGATATCTTGCAGCTCAACTGCGTTTTAGCTGCAGAGCTGTTTAAATTCGGCAAAAAAGCATTTAATAACGCTAGAATCAAGGGCCATGAGTCGTTTGATATCCATTAGTCGATTTCGCCGCGTTTTAAGCTCTGGATGGCGAGCTATTAAACGCTCCATGTAGTGTTTGCCTAATTGAATCTTATCCCCCTTACTAAGTAGCAATTTTGTAATCATTCGACGGATTTGAGCGTAATTCGGGCATAAATGCTGCCTTTGTAGGTCTCGGAAGTATTGAATCAGCACTTTTTCTTCTTGTTTTGATAGCTGTTGTGAAATGCGATCAGTTGATGGGCCAGGGTCGAATTTAGAACGTCGTAATAGCTCGCAGCTTTACGAACTGAGTCAAATAGGCCTAGATCAACGTCATTTGAGGCCTGCTGAATAGAATGCTCCTTGTTTGAGTCCATTTCGAGCTATTTTGGTAGAGCTATAGCTGTTCGAAATTTGAGTGTTGCCGAACGCGCTGCGCGAAAAACCGTCTCGCCAAGTGGGGTGTCTCGCCAAGTGGTAGTGTACGTTAGTTGTTTCTTTCTCCAAAAGCCACCTCCCACCACTGTCCCGCTGAGCCATAGTATTAATATTCCGTGCTTGCAGAAGATAATGCTGCAGACGCATTGTTGAGGTACTCACCGAGCCAGTCATCATGTCAGCTAAAATCGCAAAGACCATTGCCCGCCAAAAAGAGAAGTATGTCCAACCCATTCCCACCACAGACAAACGCCTATAGCTGACACCCCATATTTCAGGATCGCAGAAGGGAACTTCTACGAAGCTCACCAGCAGCTTCGGGTCGTGGCCTCCCGCTACGTCAAAGCCGGAGACCACAAGAATGCAGCAGACATCCTCTCGAACGGCGCGGTGCTACTCCTCAATGCCGGGCAAGGCGGCTCGGGAGGTGTCCTGAGCATGATGCTCTTGAACGACGTCTACAATAAGGGAGAGAGGGAGTGTGACCAGGAAAACAAGGAGAGGCTCGTTGGCATCCTGAGAGCCTTTCCGCGAGAGGAGCCAACGCGCAAGAGATTCATCCAGGAGATGATCGGCTGGAGTGGGAAGTTCGGCGAGCTAGAAAGAGGTGACCCAGAACTACACTACGCAGCTGGCGCGGTGTATGCGGAAGAAGGGGAAGCATACGAGGCGGAGCGACATCTACTGCTGGGCACAGCTGCCTCGGTGCCGATTCTGACTGACCTCCATTACACGTGGTACGCGGCCGACTCACCCCATCTAGCTGCCACCTACGCCTCCCGCTCTGTCTTTCCATACCTCGTTCTCGGCAACCTCGCGTCCGCATCTATGGCCTTCCAGCTCTTCACCTCACGGCTCACCTCAACGAACCCACACCTCTTCACCCAGTCAATAGAGTCCTCTAAATCCGAAACTCGAGTCTTTCCTTCACTACCACTCCTCAATTTCATATCACACCTGCTTTTAGCCTGCCCAAAAGGGGACTCGGGCCTCTTCAAGCAGCTTGCCAAGCACTATGCCGTGCACCTCAAGGAGACGCAGGATTTATGGGGGGAAGCGCTAGCGAACATCGGCGAGATATGGTTTGGGATACGGATACCAAAAGGCGGGAATCCACTGTTCGATATGATGGGTAGCATGTTCTTTGGTGGAGGAGGTACTCCGAAGCCGAGCACGCCGCGGTCATCAACACCGAAGCCGAAGCCAGAGGTGAAGAAGGTGGAGGAGCCTGCACCACCGCCAACGATGGACCTTGACTGAGCATCTAACTGGTATTGTGTCGTCTCCTGTATGGCACTCGCAACACCGCAGTACATATCGGTAGATCATATATTCATCCATGAATGCTGCATTTGAGCCTCATCTGAAACCGTAACAGCTCTCCTCGCCCGTCTCCCCCTCAAACATCCACCTATCCTCCTCCAAACTCGCTGCCTTCTTCCTCAGACTCGCTTGTACCAGCGCCAGGAGCTCTTCATTCTCTTGCCCCAATCCCTTATTACCACCAGCACCTCCTCCTCCGCCCACTCCACCATGGCCATGATGCCCATTTCCGCGCATCCGACTGCGATACATCATATCCACCAAACTCTTCTCGATCCGCTCCTGATCCTCCTTCTCTCTCATCGCGCTCTCCAACTCCATCCCCTCCGTGTCGTCCATGTCCACCCCCTCTTCGTCGGCCGTATTGTTGGCGTCGTCGCCACCACCACCACCACTGCCGCCGCCGCCGCGAGGTCCGGAGCTCGACAGGCGGAAATGTGGGGGTAGAAGCGGGATTTCAGGGAGGTCGGGTCGGCCGCTGCGGTCGCGCGCTACGATGTCGCCATTCGTGTTGTTGGAGTTGCTGAGGTCGGTGGTACTGCGGGAGTGGTGGTTGGTGGTAGCGAGAGGGTTGTTGAGAGAGTCGGTGGATTGGGTACGGGAGGTTGGGCGGCGGGGAGGGGGTGCGTTACTTAGGTTCGAGAGGGAGTGGGTGGAGGAGTTGGCGCTAGGGTTGCGGATGGGTTCGGAGGGCAAGTTGGAGCTGGCTAGATCGGGGGTCGGCGGTGGGAGAGGTGGTTTGTGAAGAGGTTTCGACGGACGGAGGAGGTGGAGGCTGTGCTGGGAGCTTGACTGGTGGAAGAGGGTTCCATGTAGCAGAACGTGTCTGATCTTGGAGCTGGAAAGAGCACTGTGGTGTTGTATGAGGGAGAGAGAGGGAGAGAGGACTCTGTAGTCACCGAGAGAAGAATTAGGAATACAAATACAGATTTTCGTCTTAGCGAAACAGCAAAGCGAGCAGCGTGGTCTCTTTAGACATGTTTGTGGACGCAAGAAGGGTCATGGTGCTGAAATAAACAAACGAGAGCCCCCCTCCAACTGGACCAGGGAATCAACTTTAGGGAAAGATGTCAGTACGAAGCTGATGACTACGAACTGACGTCTATGTATCATGTACAGAAGCGGGTACGGGCTGGCGAAATATTGCCCAGGCTTTTGAGGGTCGCAATAGTGGAACTCGATGGACAGGAGAGCTGGACAGCATCGAGGTCGGCGATCCAGTCGCGCTTCGCGTTGATCGACGACTTACAACTCGACGTGAAGTGATTATTCCATTCATCGATACTGGCGTGTGCTGCTTGGCCATCTCATCAAGTGAGTCGGGACTCTCATCAACCAAGAGGTAACGACCATGACCAATACCGATCGAACATGTCCTCATCTCAACCATTCATTACATCCTCACCGATCGTGGCAGGACCACGCAGGAAGTCCAAATTTACCTTCAAACACCTGAGTCTCCTCAGCCAGTCCTCTACATCCTGTCCTCTCCGAGTGGTGGCACATATTGACCTCGATGCCTTCTACGCGCAATGTGAGATGATCCGGCTGGGAGTTGCGGAAGATCAGCCGCTGGCCGTCCAACAATGGCAAGGACTGATCGCAGTCAATTATCCTGCTCGGTCGTTTGGACTCAATCGTTTCATCGCCATTCCGGAAGCAAAGAAGCTATGTCCGCAGTTGATCATGCAACATGTAGCTACGTGGAGGGAGGGAGATGATAAATGGGCATACAGGCCAGACAGCTCTAAGAGCATCAATACAGACAAAGTGTCCCTGGATCCATATCGCCTGCAGTCAAGGCGAATCCTGGCAATGATTAAGGAGACACTCCCTCCTGCGCCACTCCAGAAGGTAGAGAAAGCAAGCATAGATGAGGTGTTTCTTGACCTATCTGAACACGTTCACTCCATACTGCTGGAAAGGTATCCTGAGCTCGCGGGTCCTCCTCCGTATGATGATCCTTTGGAGAACCTCCCTCAACCCCCTTCAACGGTCCTAGACTGGAAAGCGGATGCTCTGGTTGACCTTGACTCCTCGCAGACAGAAGACGACGATCCTGACTGGGATGATATCGTTATGCTGATTGGCTCGGAAATCGTACGAGATGTACGCAAAGCCATTCGGGAAAAGCTAAAATATACCTGTTCAGCCGGCATCGCCAGAAACAAGATGATGGCAAAACTGGGTAGTGGTTACAAAAAGCCCAATTCGCAGACTGTCGTGCGCAATCGAGCTGTTCAGCACTTTCTTTCAGATTTCAAATTCACCAAGATCCGCAATCTGGGCGGTAAGCTCGGTGAGCAGGTGGTCTCGGCTTTTGGAACGGATCAGTTGACGGAATTACTGACGGTTTCCCTGGACCAACTAAAAGCAAAGGTAGGAGATGATACTGGTACATGGCTTTACGGGGTTATACGTGGGGAAGACACGAGCGAGATCAACCCTCGAACTCAGATCAAATCAATGCTATCCGCAAAATCTTTTCGACCAAGTATCAACTCAACCGATCAGGCTGAAAAGTGGCTGCGTATCTTCGTCGCAGATATCTATGCCCGCCTGGTTGAGGAGGGTGTGGTAGAGAACAAACGACGACCAAAAACAGTGAACCTCCATCATCGGCAAGGAGGGCAAACGAGATCGAAGCAACTCCCCATTCCATCAGGTCGAAGGATCGATGAGGGGTCGTTGTTGGATCTGGCTAAGACGCTGCTCGGGCAAGTGATAGTCGACGGTCGTGCGTGGCCTTGTGCCAATTTGTCCTTGAGTGTCGGAGGATTCGAAGATGGTGTCACTGGCAATCGAGGCATTGGCGGCTTTCTAGTTCGCGGCGACGAAGCCAAGACAGTCAACTCTGCCCAGCGTTTGCAGAATGGCCATGATTCTACTGACGAAGAATTTGGACCGCGCAAAAGGCGCAAAGTTGCAGACGACCCAAACATTCGGCGATTTTTCAGCAAGTCTGAAAGCACAGGAGAATATGAAGACTTCGATGCAGACAGCGGCTTTCAAACCCCCGAGCATAATGACGCGACAGATCCTGGACATCAGCAGTCGTCAAAACCCGAGCAAGACGATCGACCCAAAGAACAGGAGCTTCACCAACAGCAACTGGAAACGTACTTTTGTAAAGCCTGTCAAAAGTCTATTCCTAGAATCGAAGAAGCCGAGCATCAAGATTGGCATTTTGCCAAAGATCTCGAGAATGAAGATCGACATCAAACAGGTTCTGACACGATTGCTCGTCCAAACAGCCACAGTGTGGTCAGGTCGAAGCGCGGTGGCAGCGGCACAATGCGGCCAGGGCGAGGAGGAAAGCCTCAGACAGGTCAGAAGAAGCTGGCCTTTAGCTGAGCGGACCTGGTTTCTTTGTATATATTTGGAGCGTCTTGACCATTTGCATATTGGCGCCATCTGTGCTTTGCATACCATGCGGGAGCCATCTGGAAGGGACGTTGGCTGCCAGCGTGACGACCTCTCTGGCTTGACCAGTTGATTTTTACACCGCCTGCCTGGCGTATTCTTTATTGAACGCCCGACCTATGACCATTCTCCGGACCTCGCTGGTCCCGGCACCAATTTCGTACAATTTCGCATCTCTGAGAAGTCGTCCAGCCGGGATTTCGTTGACGTAGCCATTGCCACCTAACAGTTGCACCGCATCAAGGCCGCACTCGGTCGCACGCTCAGCAGCATATAGTATTGCGCCAGCACAATCTTGTGTTCGGACTTCACCCTTTTCGTCCACCATCTTCGCCGTGGTATATGTATACGCTTTTGCTGCCTGCAACTTAGTATACATGTCTGCTAGCTTTCCTTGCACCAGTTGATTGTGTGCGATGGGGGTTTCGAATTGTTTGCGGGTGTGGGTGTATGGCAGCACCAGATCGAGGCACGCTTGCATGATGCCTAAGGGACCAGCGCTGAGCACGAGCCTTTCAAGATCGAGACCCTCCATCAAAACGGTGACGCCCTTGTTCAGCTCTCCTAATACATTCTCTTTGGGCACAAAAACATCCTCGAATATCAGCTCTCCAGTGTTAGAGCCCCTCATTCCTAATTTGTCCAGTTTTCTGGCGCACGAGAAGCCCTTGGACGACTTCTCCACAATGAATGCAGTGATACCGCGTGACTGCTTTGCTGGGTCTGTTTTCGCATATACGACGATGTAATCCGCATCGGGTCCGTTTGTAATCCACATCTTCGTCCCGTTCAATACCCAACCACCATCAGCTTCTTTTGCTGTTGTCTTCATGCTCACAACATCACTCCCGGCCGAATGCTCTGACATGGCCAACGCTCCGACCTTATCTCCGGATACGAGGCCTGGCAGTATTCTTCCCTTCTGCTCCTCCGACCCGTTCAAGCACAGCTGATTCACGCATAACTGCGAGTGCGCAGCATACGAGAGTCCAATTGACCCAGACGCTCTACTAATCTCCTCAAGCACGACGCAATGCGCTTGGTAGCCCATCCCAAGGCCTCCATATTCTTCATCAGCAGTCATGCCAAGGAAGCCAGCTTCACCGAGTTTCTTCCACATTGCATTGGGGAACTCATTGTTGCGGTCTGTCGCTGCTGCAACTTCTTCGGGTATTTCCCGCCGTGTGAACTCTTGTACCCGTTCTCGCAACTCGTAGAGATCCTCCGTGGTAGGTGGCGTAAAGCCGGATGGATGTTTAGACGAAGTCGATGAGGGGCGAAGTAATTGCCTGGAAGCCAGGGAGAATCGTAGAGCCCTTGTGGCACGGGAGAGTAAACGCTGGCTCGCCATGGGCACCATTCTCTTGAGCGATTGAGTAACGATCAGGCATTCAATCATATGGGCATAACAATGTAGTCTTTGAAGGTTTCAAGACAGATGCTGGGACATATGTAATGCAACTCATCCTCGAGATGAAGTGCGGCTATTCGCGGTCCTCCGGTCTTTACCGGGAGCTTGGTCAAGCGAGGTAAACTCTTTGCACTTCTCCAACGATAGCATCGAACACCGAGTATGTGAGGGAGACCATCTCTGTTTGGCACTCTCCGGGCAGTGTTCGCTGAGCATGAATCCCGCTACCAGAGTGCTGTCTCTGCAGGTGCTCCGCAGCATACGGGCACCCCTCCAATACAAGAAGCCGCAGACATGTTGTTCCTTGGCGATTGTCCAGCGTGGAGCAGCTACCTTTACACATCCGCAGCATGCTTCTGCCATTTCTATCATACCCACGCTTGTGGACAAGTCTACGGAAGAGTACAAGGAGAATGCAAAGCGCTTGGGTGATCTTATGTCGAGATACACTGAACTGCACAAGAAACTTGCCCTTGGTGGGCCACAGAAGGCTAGAGACAAGCATGTCCAGAGAGGAAAGATGCTTGCGCGCGATCGAGTAACGGTGCTTGTTGATCCTGGAAGCCCATTTCTCGAACTGTCGCCATTGGCCGCATACGAAGTCTACGAGGAGGAGATCCCTGCCGGCGGAATCATCACCGGTGTGGGCACAGTCGAAGGCGTGCAGTGCATGATTGTAGCAAATGATGCTACGGTCAAAGGGGGCACATACTACCCGATAACGGTCAAAAAGCACCTTCGAGCACAAGAAATAGCTCAGCAGAATAGACTACCCTGCATATACTTGGTCGACTCAGGCGGTGCGAACTTGCCGAATCAAGCGAATGTATTCCCGGACCGTGAACATTTTGGAAGGATCTTCTACAATCAAGCAAGAATGAGCGGCATGGGTATACCACAAATATCCGTAGTTATGGGTCCCTGTACTGCAGGTGGAGCGTACGTGCCTGCAATGTGCGACGAATCCATCATCGTGGAGAATGAAGGTACCATCTTTCTTGCTGGGCCGCCACTGGTAAAAGCGGCGACCGGAGAAGTGGTTTCCGCTGAGGACCTCGGAGGCGGCAGACTGCATAGCTCGATATCAGGAGTCACGGACTACCTGGCTGTTGACGATGCGCATGCTCTGGTCTTAGCAAGGAGATCGATAGGAAATCTCAATTGGCCGGGTCAGGCCTCCGCCCCTAAAGTCTTTGAGGAGCCTCTGTACGATCTCGACGAACTCGGCGGAATCGTAGGAACGAACTTGCGGAAGCAGATCCCAGTTCGGGAAATCATTGCTCGTATCGTCGACGGGAGCCAGCTCGCCGAGTTCAAGAGAGACTATGGGACAACCTTGGTGACAGGCTTTGCCAGGATATGCGGTCATCAGGTCGGTATCATTGCAAACAATGGCATCTTGTTCTCTGAATCGTCACTGAAAGGGGCACATTTCATTGAGCTCTGTTGCCAACGAAATGTCCCCCTGGTTTTCCTGCAGAATATCAGTGGCTTCATGGTAGGCGCGGAGGCCGAGAAGGGAGGAATTGCCAAGAATGGAGCAAAGCTGGTTACAGCTGTAGCTTGTGCAGACGTACCTAAGTTCACAGTCGTTGTTGGCTCGAGTGCAGGTGCTGGTAACTATGGCATGTGGTGAGTCAAGACACCCCTGGTCGGGAGTGCTTACTGAGTTGTCGCTATAGTGGGCGAGCCTACTCGCCACGCTTTTTGTGGATGTGGCCAAATGCCAAAATCGGCGTCATGGGGCCCGAACAATTAACAGCTGTCATGGAGACTGTCGGCAAGACCGTCGATCCTGAACTGCGGGATCGCATTGAACACGAAAGTGACGCAGCGTTCTCATCTGCGCGGCTATGGGACGACGGCGTTATAGCACCCGCTCAGACTCGCCAAATGCTCGGGTTGGGATTGCAAGCTGCTCTTGGAGGTAGGAGAGATGAAATTGTCACAAAATTCGGTGTCTTTAGAATGTGAAAATGCTCAGCTTTCGCTTCGACATTACTATTTGGAGGAGCACTGCTCATTTTCATAGTCGACCTTAGCTGGCGCCTTTTCGACTTGCCTCATCCAACCATTAGCAGGGGTGGTAAATCGATCGCGAAGCCCTCACGCCAAACTCCATGCTTATCGCTGAAAGTGATACCAGTGTCTATCCTTTTGGGGTGTATGGAGTCATCTCTATATTCTCTGCCAATCCGAAGCGCCATGCAGAGACATCGATGTCATGTTGATCACCAAGCAAACAAACACCCGCTTTAGAGGATGACACACTTGTCTCGCCTACGGACTCGTCTTGACCGGTGGCCGCCACGGCTAGTTCGTCCGCCTCTTCCTCCAGACCCACTCTCTTGATCCCGCACCTGAGTTCTGTGCATGTCTTTGCGGATGATCTGGCGGCAGAGACGTTGGCTCGTCTACGAGCCGAGGTCTCGTAGTATGGAGCGTTCCCCCAGGCTTGCGAAATCTGGAATGCTCGAGCTCTCGAGACCACCCGATCCTCTTCCAGGTCGGACTTGTTACCAACGATGACGAGAGGAATATTCTCGTCATCTTTGATACGGATGATTTGCTCCCGCAGTTCGGCAAGCTCTTGTAAACTGCTCATGCTGGTGATAGAGAAGACGAGCAGAAAGCCCTGTCCCTGCTTCATGTACAGCTCTCGCATTGCTGTAAACTGTTCTGTGCCTGCCGTATCGAGGCTAGCAAGGTTAGTTGCCATCGTCGTGCAATTCGATTCTTCTATGCTCACATCTCGAGTATACACTGACGTCCCTAAACGCGCAGTCAGCCAGGGAGCCTATAAGTTTCAGGCTTGAAACTCACATCTACCTCTATCTGTTTTCTGTAGGAGTCCTCTATCGTAGGGTCGTAACTTTCTATCCATACGTTTTGCACAAATTGAGCCGTGAGACAGCTCTTCCCAACGCCACCTATCCACCAATTCAGCTTTCATTCATGAGTAGCATGAGTACAAGCACAAACCAGCGCCAAGAACCACGATGTGATATTCACGTCTGAGATACTAGATCAGCATCAGATTCCTTCGCGCACGAAGTGTCTCTCTTACCTGGGTTGCAAGCTCATCTTGACGGGAATCCGGGGCAATTCTTGTGAGCAAAGACGCCGTTCACCCGCACGCTCCGTTTCTTCCCGCTATTGCTGCCCCTGTAGACGTGTGCTTGGGGTTCAACTTTTGTATAATAGCTACTCAAACGCATCGAACGAGCTCCAAACCAAGCCCAGGGACAGATGTAACTCTCAGCATCTCGCAGCAATAACTGTCACCGTCACCCTGATGCAGTAGCGAAGCTGAAATATGATAGAAAATCTTCCAATGCACCAGAACCCAAGCTTCAAGCTGACCCACGGTTGAGAAGACGTAGTGGTGGGTGGTTTTGGCCCGAAAAAATATCCACCTCAGATCACAAACACATCTTTGGCATAATTGGGTTGGGGACGAATACCTGCAGAGACTACGACTACATCCGCGTCGGGTAGCCACTCCATCTTTATAGCTATACCAGCTCTGCTCTCGGCTTTCGAAGACGTTTCCACGATGCTTGCAGAAGAAAGAGCACTGGCAATGACATCGGGGGAGGTCTAAACCAATGGACTAAAAAATCAGCCAGGGCTTTTTAGATCATCCACAGCATTGGATGAGTGGTGCCGCCTGTCGGTTTAAGGTCACTTCCGAGGTAGGCCTTCTCCGTCCTACTGGTTCCACTACCAGAGTTTTACATGCTGGAGCTGACGGCCAAGCGGCCTCTCAAGATTCGCGGATTTCGAGACTTCCCGGAGCTCTGCCGCATGGACTGGAGATGCCCAGGGTGCTTGCTTGGTTCAATGATACTGGTTTCTACCCTGAATGGTTCCCGTCATCCTCGGTTATGGAAGTATCAAGCTGAATCTCAGTTGGCATTGCCATGCTCTCGGAAGCTTTCTCGAGATCTGGGCACATATTGAGGGTTGCATGCTTTAGTCTACATGCAATACCTAATAGGCAACGTCGTCCGGCTAGCGAGCAGCCTTTTCGACCGGCTTCGCTTGGGCTGAAGAGGCACTGGTAGACTACCTTGGTGGCAGCCACGAGGTTGCTAAGATCGCTTTACGTGCAGACGATGACAGCTGAGAATTGCAAAGTGGAGGCTCAGCCTTCACCTCCATGGGTTTTTTTTTCTTCTAGCATGGAACGTTTTGATTCGATCATGCAGCTGCATTTCATGATTCTAGCTTTCACGTCCACACTTCCCCGGTTCCACTACCCTGGTTAGTTGAGCGCACACCATGGAGCTCTAGCAGAATCCGGCATGAAAAATCCGCAGCCACTCGAGCTAAGGATCAGTACGATAGGCTGTTTCTATGTGGCTAAGGGGTGGCTAATCATACTCCATCGAGCATTCACCCTTTCGAAGCCATGACCATTGACAGCGTTGGGAACCTGACGCATGCTTGACCTGTCTGTGCCGGCGGAATTATCGGACATCATGTCCGTCAAGTCACATCTCGATTGAGTGAAGCAATATGGTTGCTGGTGCGCCCTCTTCCAGCATCGTATCCACCCAACTGCCATAGCTTCGTTACGAGAAGTCAATACGCATTTAAAATTCTCCTTCTGGCCTTGAAAGTCGATCCCTGGCGGCTAAGTGTGTAACTGCCGGTAGGGCTGTATCAGTAAACACATCCTAGTTGGACAGATGGCGGCGTCTAAGTTCGAAATTTACAATCATTGAGTGATATATCAAGGCTCAAAGCCTGTGCTCTTGCAGAATTATCAGACTGGCCCTATGCACGCACGACCCTCCTGCAGCCGCGAAATTTCATTAATTCAGCAGTCCTTGGTTTTCATGCCGGCGCGCTTTGCACGCGTGGATGGATAACGCTCAATCGCCGATTGATAGCATCAGGCCCTGCAATGTCAGGAATGTTGCCGCGGGATTGAAAATTTGCCGGGCCACGCAGTCACCAGAACTTTCTACGACCGGGTGCTGCCGTTGAATCTTATGCACGCCGTCTGAACTTTGAGGCAGCAGCAACTTCAACGTTTTGACCCTTGTCTCTTCGTATACCTGCGAACAAGCAAGTCGTGATCCAACAGCAGGGAATGAGAGATAGGTTTAGCGGTATAAGAGGACAAAATGCGAGGCATGCTTCAAGTCCGGCACGATATTGTGGGTCTCAGACTCTACTTCCGCGGCGGCATGAATTATCTCAAAGACGAAGTGAGCACTGGTCCGATCTCGCTCATGCGAAACAACGGGATATTGAAAACTGGTTTGTGTTGGATGGTTGGCCGAAGCCAGCTCTTTGATGTGGTCATAGCGTTGCTGAGGCTGATGTGTACCTGAGGGGTTCAATCTTGCTGGCGTTCGGCAAGAGAGCAACGCAGCGAGAGTCCGCGACATGTTTGTGACATATCGAATCACCTACGCCGCATACTGATCAGTTCCAAGTTTCCAATTGGAGATGGCATTCATCGACCACCACTACGATAATACCTTCACAATGCGCCACTCAAACCTGCTACCCATTTCGCTCGAGACCGATATCTAGGAAGGATGTGACTTACAAACCTACCATTTCTGTAGCTACTGACTCTTGATACGTCGGTCACATCCTATATGATGCTTATCCTCGTCAACCAAAATACAAGTGTCATATCTTCCAGAAGAAGATAGCAGCTAGCGCATATTCAGGAAATGAAAGCCTGGTGACTACACCAACTGGCGCACACGGCAGTCCGAAGGAGCTATGGCCTTTCCAAGATCCTGTTCCCCCAAGAAATATGCTTTGAAATCTTCAGGGCTGAAGGAAAGGGTGTCACCTATATCCAATAACCCTCGATAAAATGTCAGTGGTATCGTCAGCTGCTCGGATAGGGACTTGCCCTGGACTTTCTGCAACCGATAAGCTCAGTATGATAGCTTAGGTACAACTCGAGGCTATGACAAAGCAGGAAGCTATATATTGAGCACTTGAAAAGACATATCTCACAAACCAGGAAGAATCAGGCCAGCTTTTCCCATAGGATTTCGACTCCGAGACAGCCTCGAGCAGAGTGCGGGTTACTCCTGTTGCTCGTTGGTGGCTAAAACTTCGTGACTAGCATGGACAGAATATCTTGATGAAACAGAAACGGAGCGGGACGTCGAAGGTAAGGATACGTCTCATTTAGACCGCAGTTCGCACTCAACCATTGCGCGTTGGCCGGGCTGCCTTGAGTCGGTCCTTTCTCTATTCCGCAATCATCGGCTGGGATACCAAAAGGGGGGGGTGCCTGCAGATCTGCCACTCGTCAATGGAGTCTATTTAAGTCTCTCATTCTCTACTGCGTTTACTGAAAACATCACAAATCGAGTCAAAGCTGTCTGTATCATAGTAAGTGAGCCTACATTATCTAGAAGTCTACGAGTCTAACAGTCCGCGATACATGAAGGTTGAGCGGAAAACTCTACTCCTTCCGAGGCTACCAACGCAGCGCGAGATCCTCGTGGAGGGATCATACCTCCAACAACGATATCGATTCCATCCCCTGGAATAATCAGAGAACAATCACCGTCTCAATGCTCGGATGGACCGTGCTCAGGATTTTTGGAAGATCCGTCTTTACGGAGTTCAAACTTGACATGACCCCCTACTTCAGTTCCTCAGTGAGGACGGTGGGTGCATGCCTATCTTCTGATTTCCAGGGTAGCGACGCCGTATAATCCCATCGTCTACGAACATTAGTCAAAACCATCATCAGACCAGGAGGTTCGAAAACCAGCGAAATGCTCAACTTGTGTCCGACCGCTTCGTATCCCGGAGTTACTGCGTCTGCGCCGAGAGTGCCGGCTTTACCTGTCCAGTGTGTCATAAACCGTCCTATACTGGCTGTGGACTCCAAGTTACGAGGCTTTGACTTGCTCTGAGCATAGAGACTTGCCGAGAGGAGGATTGTCATCCTTCAGTCATGAAAGATTTACGAGGAGATTTTCAAACCCGGTTTGAGACCCAAGACGCGAATTGAAGAAGCAGATGGATATGGTCATATAGTTTGGTTATGGTTGTCAATAAGGTTTTGCTGGATATGCTAGGTATCTTCAACTACACTGAGATGGGTGATCGATCATATGGCTGAAGAGCATGGGACTGTTGTTATTGAGGAGGGGAATGTAAAAATTTACGAGGATGGGTGGTGACTTGAAGAAAAAGTGTTGAGACCAAACGGGCGTGTATATATCGAAGGTAGCTGGCATTCAGGAATCATGGCCACTATTATTTATTCACTTCAGAGCCTAATACGTGCCAGGAGCCACAACGATCGGGACAAAAAGGGCAAAAAGGGCAAAAGGAGAATCTACCGCCTTCTACCCGGTTGTAGTTTGACCTGAATAGATTCTACTTTAGTCGTATCGTTCCTACAAGTTGTTTTTGTTGTGAATTTGATTGGTCGGACTGGAGGAGAGTATTAATGCTTCCGGCCGGTAGCATGCTGAGATTCGAACTGGTGGTGTGAGTTGATCGTCCGTTTCCGTAGCTCAAACGCCTTCTACCCCGAGTGATAGTTTGATCCAATTGAGCTAAGGAGGTGGTGTTGGGAAAGTGTTCGCAGTCATAAATATAACTCTTGTTTTTTGGTTGGCTGAGCGGTGTTTGTCTACCTCCATGCTTGAAGGTCAAGGCCAACCTACTTCTACGGCCACCGTATGTTACAGCGAGTTAGCTGCTTAGTCTGCTCCACTATCTATGTCTTGAACTGTGTAGCTCCCTGCAAAATCGATCATCACGATCGTCCGATCGAGAAACCTGTACTATGTTGACATCAATTTATGAGTCGATCCATGAGCCGCTAAAGCCGAAAGAGCTGAAAAAGAAGTCCTGGCTAAGTAGAGAAAGGATTGCGGTTAGTCACAAGAGGCTTTTTCGCTGGTTAGATACACCTGCCCTTCAGCTTCAGGGCAATGTACTTCAGTTCTCGAGCCCACAACATGAGAACATCTTCCCATCGCTAGGGGCCAAGAATTCATTGCTTCCAAGGCTCTTTGCACTCCATGGGCAGAGGGCCAACTAAGTTAAACACGGTTTCTGATAGAATTTCTGTATCGGTAGCGAGTTCTGATGACTTGCTCTTGAAATTGCTGTTTTGGGGATCACGAGAAGTCTGATGGAGTGGTAAGACCCCTAACTAACTTACTACGTAGTATCCCGCCCCTGAATATATCTTGGCGTATTTGCTTAGTTTGCCCAGCTGACGCAACTGGCAGGGAAGGGTTTGAATTTCTAAGCTGCGAGATTGGTGCTGGATTGATTTGTGTACTCGAACGCCGAGGCAAAGATCTGCTCTATGAGCATTGCTTCTTCTGCGTAAATACCTTCCTGGTAGAGCTCATTGTGGAAAGAGAAAGAGAAAGAGTCCTGCATCGCAATGTCAGCCTCAAACCCATCTCAACACGCTCCGCTGGAGGAAGACGACAATGAAGAGCTTCTCAACGCGGACGATGCCGCCGAGGAGATTGCAAAGGACGATGACCACCCGATGGAAGATGAGGATGACGCCGAAGACGATCTACACGAAGAAATACAACTTCAGAACGATTCCGCCGCCCATTTCGACAGCCACACCGACAGCATTTTCTGCATAGCGCAGCATCCTCTCCGTCCCTCTCTCATTGTCACGGGTGGTGGCGATGATGTCGCATACCTCTTCGACGCTTCCATAGAGAACGATGACCCCCGACCCCTTCTCCCAACCAGCTACGAATCAGATCCGCAGCCCAAAGGGGAGCGCAAAAGCATACCGCCCCTACAAAAGCTAGACGGCCACACCGACTCAGTCAACGCCGTCGCCTTCACTCAACCCTCGGGCCAATACATCGTGACCGCAGGTCTAGACGGTAAACTCCGCGCCTGGTTCACCTCCTCTACAGCGTCTTCCTCTTCAACCCCAGAATCACCACCAAGCTACACCTTCCTCTCCGAATCCTCCGAAGTCCAGGAAATCAACTGGCTATCCCCGTGTCCCTCCCCTGCACACCCCAACACCGTCGCCTTCGGCGCCAACGATGGTTCCGTCTGGGTCTACACCGTCGACGCCGCCGACACCGCCTCCCCCCTCACCATCAATCAAGCCTACTACCTACATACCGAATCCTGCACCGCCGGAGCCTGGACGCCGGACGGCAACCTCCTCGCCACCGTGTCCGAAGACTCGAGCTTCCACGTCTACGACATCTGGGGCGAGGCAGCTGACGCTGGCATCACGAGCTCGGACAGCGGCCAAGCCATCATCAGCCTCAGCGCAACAGACCAACGCTTCGCAGTCGAAGGCGGCTTATACTGCGTGACCATCAGCCCCGGCGGAACAATTGCCGCAGTCGGCGGCGCGGGAGGAAACATCAGAATCATAGGCCTCCCACGAGTCGGGACAACCGCCTCAGCCTCAACCCCGACCACCAGAGCTGGAGGCGCAGGCGGCCCCAAAAACAAACCCAGTGCCGGTGCACGCAAGCCCGGCCCATCCACCACCACCACCACCACCCCCTCCTCCTCAAGCCCAGGCACCCTCCTCGCCTCCCTCAACTCCCAATCCGACAGCATAGAAACCCTCTCCTTCTCCTCCCCACCCTTGATCCTCCTCGCCTCCGGCAGCGTCGACGGCAGCATCGCCCTCTTCGACGTCGCGCACAGCTTCGCCCTGCGCCGCCACATCGCGGATGCGCATGACGGGTTCGCGGTCGTCAAAGTCGACTTTGTCGCGCCGCCGCCGCAGCAGCAGGGGGCGGGCAAGAGAGGGGTCATTACCTGACGAGCTGCGGCATGGATGGCGTGGTTAGGCGCTGGGATGGGAGGGGCAAGAGCACCACCACCACCCCAACGACTGCGACAGGGATGCAGGGCCGACGGCAGGGGGGAGAGCAGGCCCCGGCGCAGGCGCAGGCGCAAGGGCAGGGCTTGGTCAGGGAATGGAGGGGTCACAGGGGGGACGGAGAGGGCGGTGGTGTTTTAGGCTTCGTGCAGGGCGCGGACGATGGTGCGAGAATCGTCACCGCGGGAGATGATGGCCTGGCCTTGGTGTTTCGAGCCGAGTTTACCTGACTTACGAATTATCTTGCGCAAAGCAGCAGAAAGGCATGACGCAAATATCTTAACGTGATCGGCCGGTTTTTGCTGCTGCTGCTGCTGCTGCTGGCGGCGGGGACCCGTGGTGAAGACTATGGATATGAATCATGACCGTAAAAATGAATAGTATGTTAGATGAGCGCCACGTGTCTGAAGTGCTGGCCATGTTCACATGGTAGAGTGGGGAAAATTGGGCGTGTCAGCTAGGCATCATACGTGCAATGGCGCAGGTCTGACTGGAGAGAAGAAACGAAAGCCTAATAGATGCTGTGATCGATATTCTATTGTTCTTATTTACTCACATAGTCATACACGAATAGTAAGACATAATGCCATCTATCTTTCCTTCCCTAACACCTGCTTGCGTGAAATGCATCTATACCCATACTCATACCCCCATCAGTTCCACTTGTGAAATTATCCCTTACTTACCCTCATCCTCCACCTCCATCCCACCCGATCCTACAACACTGACACTGGGCTGACTGGTCCCAAGCCTGATTCCATGATTGCCGAACCTCGCTGCCAATGGGCCCCTCCCAGGACTGTTGCTTGCCGTTTCCCGGCTGGAGCCGGACCCTGCTCTGTCTCTTGTTTTCTTCCTTGATCGAAGGCTGTCATTCCATGGTGGCTTCCTGCTTTCGGAATCCGAGCCGGACTGCGATGTATTCGGCCTCCAGGATTCGACAGTCTGCTTTTGCATGCGTGGTGGGAGGGGTGGTGGAGCCGCAGTAGCAGTGACAGCAGTGTTAGAGGGGACAGCTGTTCCGAGAGCATCTCCTTTCTCCCTGCTGTGGCCGTGGCCGTTGCTACTACACGCAACAGCTTTCCTTGGGAGTGGATTACCGATCTCCCAGGCTGGAACGAAGGGAGAGTCTGGCCGCAGGGGCGAGTTGTTGGTGGCTGAGATGTATTGTCGCTCTCTTGCCACGCGTGCCGCACTCTTCCTGTTCTCGATCCGCGTCGGCGAATCCATTGCCCAGTCAAAATCAGAAGGACTTCGCTCGTCTTCGGAGGCACTCCAGCTTCCTGCTCTCAGCCTCGCTGTGTTTGCGTTTGCGAACGAAAGACCTGGCAGTCGTGGCATACCATTGCTGCTATTTGTGTCGTTTTGAGAGTAATACCCCAATGCGTTGAGGACGTGTGGAAAGACAAGCGTGTCGACATCTTGGGCCCAGAGAAAGTCAAGGTGTTCGAAATGCTTCACTTCGAATGCCATTGTGTGTTTGGGCAATTCGCGCAGCATGGCTTTGATATCAACGAGGGAGTCGCTACCGCCATAGACGAGTACGATAGGCGTTTTGATATTTCTGGTTGGGAATTTGGCCACTTTGTAATACCGGTCCGAGGCACCAATGCTGAAGGCGCGTGAAGAGTCATCGTCATACATTTGGAACGACTTGTTTCGAATTATCTGAAACCAATGCACCACGGATTTTGTGCTGGTGAAGCTGTAAAGATGGGGATATGCAGCGAGTTTTTGATGCGGAGTTATGTTTCGACAAGACCAGGCAAAGAGGAAGCAGAGAGCAATGTCGATCACGCGGACGAAGATGGGTGGGTAGAGTATTGACTGCCAAAAGGTGGCAGAGGAGAGTATGGATTTCCGGCCAAACGTGAGGAAAAGGACATCGGGTGAGGCTTTGACAAGGGAGTCAACGAAACCATTGCTCAGGCCAGCTGGGGACATTGCAGGTGCCAGAGCAATGAAAAGGTTGACCTTTTCATTTAGAGGAGGATGGATTGAAAGCGTGGCAAAGGCCTGAGCAGTACCCTGGCTGAAGCCAATGTAGGAGAGTGAAGGTTGAGAAGTGGTGGCGAGGATGTAATCTATGCTGTCAGGAATGTCGTGGAAGGCAAATTGATCCATTGAGAAGTTCCAGAAGTCGGCAGAGGAAGGCGAAAATCGGGTCGACTTCTTGCTGTATTTATTTCCTCGGTTGTTCCCCAACCAGACATCATAGCCATGCTCGGCCAAGACGAAGGGGAGACACCTCTCTTCTTCGGTAATGCACACCCATACCTCGCTATTCATGAGTAATCCATGGTGCAGATACACGACAGGCTTTGTTATCGATCTCTGACCAGAGTTGACCAGGTGGCCTTCCTGCTCTTCTCCCTTCTTGTAGGGCAAGCGGTGAATTCCAAGGAGGTAGCCATCCGCCGTCTGAACGACATGCTCCTCAGCACGGTAGCCAAATAAGGCACAGAGGTCGGTAAAATCCGATGCATGGGCAATAGGGCGAGATATCGAACTTCGCTCTGACCTGGCTCGAATGGAATCTTGGGAAGAGAGACGATTGAAGAGGTTCTTTGATCGATTGTAGCAGAAACGGATGATGGGTTGTGCTGACTATGGTCAGCAAAGAAAAGGCATAGGGGCATTCTTTCGTACGTAGTAGCAGTGTGATTATGCGGACAGGAACTTCGAGGAAGACAAGGAACAAAGAGCCCAGGAGAGCGAGATACTCTCGCCTGCCCATTATCGATATGGCAATCAGCAATCATTCAAGTTAAGAGGAGTCTCCGGGTAGCTCTCTCTCAAAACAATTCAACATATCTCAAGGCATGCTGGTGCTCTCCAGACTGGAAGCTTTGACCGGACTGCCACACTCCAAGAGTAACCTACCAGAAAAGACGGCCAACAACAGGCACTCTCGCCATATTCGGGGGGATGGGATTAATCAGGCTTCAGATGAAGGACCGATAACGTGAATTAACGTGAATTAACCGAACGTCATAAGCCATCAGAACTGCCCGCCGGTGCTTGAGCTTTGACAAATGTCACAATCCGTTTGTGGGTATGGATAGTAGTGGCTACCTAAAACCGAGTACCAATTGACCATTTCAGCAGCAACGTCATTTGTGGACACCAGACACGTGCAGGTGCCTGACTGCAGTGTCACATGCATCCTTACAGAGTACGCGCAGATTGCACTGCAGTTTTTTATGTCATCAATGCCAAGCCTAAGAATTGCCACCATCAAGATTTCACAAACAGCACTTCCTTCCTTCTTCTTCTTCTTCTTCTTCTTCTTCTTCCACAATATCGAACAACGCATAAAAACAACCACGTTCCTAATAAAAGCATTCCTGCGAGGTGGCCCTCCATGCGAGGACTATCCATGAAGTACGGAAATCGTCAGATGGAATGGAGAGTGAGGAAAGCGGACGATCTTGGGTGCAGTGTCAACCTTGCCGATTCTGGCAGTTGTGGTTGGAATTGCAATGATTGACCATACATGATCATGATTTTGATTGCACAAGCAGAGGCGATCATGATGGCGGGCATGGGGCTGAGAGCCCATTGCGTGCTGTCTGTTGGAGGCTATGGCTTGCTACACTGCCTGGTAGGGCGCTTATTAGGTCAATAACATCTGCTGCGAGCTGTCCAGTCCAAGCAATTGGATGCTCCCTACATGGCACCTGGTCTTGCAATGCTCAAAATTCTCGGAGAGCGTGGGCCCAAAGCAGAGGATGTAGGATTCATTGGGCATCGTGTGTTGCTAATTGCGGGTGCAAAACAAGGTCAAACTATTTAACTCTTGCGACAGATATACAGTATCTATGTATTTTAGATATACAGTATCTATGTATTTTAGATATACAGTATTTATGTATTTTAGATACACACCTGGTTCTAACCATCAGAATACCACTCTTAGAGCTTCGCGCCTTTCTGTCTCCTCGACTCTCTGTCTTTATCTCTTAATAATCTCCGCAGAATCTTGCCACTGGGACTCTTTGGTATCATGTCAATGAACTCAACTCCACCTTTGAGCCACTTATGGCGTGCCTTGGTGTTCTCGACATGCTTCTGAATATCACGCATTACCATTCGGTCGTTCTCTTCCAGACCCACCAATTGCGACTTGACCACATAAGCCTTGGGGACCTCGCCGGCTGCCTCATCTGGTGTTGCGATTACTGCACAGTCAGCCACCGCCGGATGCGTGAGCAGATGTGCTTCGAGTTCAGCGGGTGCGACTTGTAGTCCCTGGAATCATTGCAGTCAGTTTGATGATCCAAGATATGCTCAACGAACATACGTTCACTTTGATCAATTCCTTGATCCTGTCCACGATCCAGATATGTTCATGGCCCTTTGGGCTCTGCTTGACTACAGCTTCATCGCCTGTCCTCATCCATCGTCCACCTTGGCCATCCTCGACAAATGTCTCTTTGGTTGCTTGTTCATTCTTGAGATACCCCAAAACCACGCTCGGTGATTTGACCAGCAGCTCACCTGGTTGATCGTAACCAGTAACTTCTTCGCCCCCAAGTGTCACTAGCCTACATTCAATGCCACACAGTATGGAGCCGGAGCTGCCAAACCACACATCATCCGGACTTGTGGAGGAAACCACGGTGCACGTCTCCGTTAGCCCATAACCCTGTCGAATCACCCATTTGGGATATTGCTTCTGCAACAAGTGAGCCACCTCCGCCCCCAGAGGTGCTGCGCCCGTGAATATAGTTCGTACGGAGCTTAGGTTAAACCTGTCGAGAATGGGTTTGTTTTTGGCCATAGCAATCATGATAGGAGGAACGATGTAAAGTGTATTGATCTTGTAGGTGGCAATACTATTGAGATACTGTTGTATGTCGAACTTGGGTAGCACCACGACTTGGTCACCACGGTATGTGGAACAGTGACTGATGACGACAAGAGCATAGATATGTGACTGAGGGAGAAGACCTAATGCCACATCCTGGTAGTCCTTGCGTATGGAGTCTCGAGCTGGCTTATCATAGTTGTAGATCTGAAGCGTGTTGGCTATCACATTTCTGTGGGATATCATCACCCCTTTCTAGAACCAACATACAAGTTAGCCCGGGTAATCTCGTGGAAACTCTCTGGGAAGTTTACCGGTAAACCAGAAGTGCCACTCGAGTAGCAGAGGAAGGCGGTTTGTCTTGCTCCTTGCCCTGCTCCCCACTTGATCGGCTCGAGCGCTGGTAAGGATGAACCATCCTTTATCAATTGGCCCAAGGTCTTGAACTCATCGTCCGCCTTGAGTCCGCCTTGAGCTTGTTCTGGGAGCTCACATATGTATATACGTTTCTTGGGTATTCCAGCTTTTGATGCGGCATCCAGGGCCACTGGTAGTAGAGGCAGGCAGGTGAATAGTGCTGTGGCTCCACAGTCCTTCAATTGGTGCATCAGTTCCTCCACAGAGTACGCAGCATTGGCCGGAGACGAAATGCCATTCAATCTATGTATTGCCCAATTCAATGTCATAATATCAATCTAACAATACGGTTAGCATTATGTGCCTCAATTCCTTTGCTGGTATAATGCGAGTATATTCACCGTATTGAACGCAAAAACCCCCGCAACCTTGTCGAACTCCGTGCCTTGGTTAACATTCCATCCAAGCTCTTTCGCCAATCCGCGCGCCAGTGATTCTGTTCTCTGTTTCTGCTCTCCAGCTGTGTATGATTTGCCTGAGACACCGCAGGTATACGGATCGAGCGATCTATTGAAAGGGAGTCTGCCATACCGCTCGTCGAGGACAAAGTCGCAAATAGGAATAGTATCGGGAGGATCAATTGGCAGCTTAGAAGCCCACGTTGGCGGATAAAAGACCATGGTTGGATTTTTCTGGTTGATAATGTATAGTTGGAGATAAGAATGTTGTGCCAAAAGTACCGCTTTCCAAAGGGCAGATTCTATATCGCAAAACTTGGTTACTTAGTTCAGGTAAACACTTTGAACCGAGGTTATGGGTAAAAACGGGCAATCATACTGTGACCGTGCGGGGGGCATGAATCTTAACTCTACTGAGCCAAGCTCTTCGCGATTACATACCTTGTCAAGTTGCAGGTGGGGTATAATTCATAACTAAATAGTAGCGGAGGGTCTGGTCAAATACAATGGTGCATCAAACGCAACACAGTACTTAGAACTTGTCTAGATCCTTCAACTGGACTTAATTTCGGGTTAAAGAATTACAAAATCATCACTTTTAATATTGTCGAGTAGTACAATAGTAGAGAGACTATAAATATATCCGTCACTTAGGAAGGACGAAACGATCATTTCAAGATATAATTAGGAAAATTTGGATGGCTTTTGAGGTAGATGAGGACATTTAAAATCTAAACAATCCTGTTGGTTGAGAATGTTGCGTGACTGGACCCTCTTTTAGTATTTAGTTATGAACTCGTTGCCAGGCGATTTTCCCCTGAAATGCGGACAGCTGGTGGGATTTGCTTGCTCAGCCTCCACTATATCTGAAACTGGTCATTAACCTACAGTAGCCTGCACATGCCGAACATACTGCAAATGCTGAACAGCCTACAACTGATCAATAGAAACAGTATCAAGTATTGCGCTGTAGGGGACTTCGCGCCCAGTTTCAAGGCCCCCACTCCGCCAAAAGGACAGCGCTGATGGATTCCGAACCACATTTGATTGATGAATCCTTCCTGACAGGCGGGGCTTATCTTAAAGGATGCAATCAGCAAGCCTTTCAGTTTCTAATTCAGCATTTTCTCTCAAAACCACATGGCCTTCCTGTTGCCTTTTTGATAAGCGCGCGGACTGAATGGATTGATGCTCCTTTTCAGAGTGTGTGGCGATGAAGGCTTTTGAGTCTGCAAACATAAAATTTAATTTATATCAATCGCCGTGTCCATTTCTCTTGCAATCTTCTGGCCCTGGGCTTTGATCTCTACGTTGCTCTGGGATATATCTTGTTTAACAATGTTCTCTCTGATGCCTCCCACACCATCGCTTGGCCCCTCCTCACGCTCTGAGGGGCCATCGTTCGACAACCATATTCTTTTAACAGATTCGCCTGTGGAAGAGAGAGGGTTGGACCCCGAAGTCCGCAGAAATCTCGAATCTGTTAATATTCAGAGGCAGCTACAGTGGGAGAAGCATATGAAAGATGTCGACTTACAGAGAAGATACAGAAAGGTGTCTGTCCTCCTGATCCACTGGGAGAAAGAGGGCACAGACTCGTTCGATGCTCAAGCAGAGGTCTGTCTCCCGCTCTGGAACTTTGTGCTTTGGTTCTGATGTTAATAACCACAGGTGGATCGGCTCGGTCGCGTTCTTGACCAAAGATACAAATTCCGCGTCACGGAAAGAAAGCTCAACACTCAGAAGAAAGCACAGCTGCAGATCAACATGCACCTCGCAAACTGGGTCTATGAGGAAGATGAGGAGAATACCCTATTGATAATATATTATGCAGGTCATGGCACCCCTGATCGAGGCACAGGTCGCCTACTGCTTGCAAAGTAAGCATCACATTCTTGATCGACCTTTATTAGATGTCCAAGATTCTGATCGATATGCGTAGCGGGAACTCATCAGCACCAGATGAAATCTCGGACCGCTTGAACCACATTGTCTGGCAAGAAGCTGAAAATCTCATCCACACTGCCTCGCGTCCAGACATATTTCTTATATTTGACTGCTGTCATGCTGGCCGACTTTTGAATATGCGGCAGAAACCAGCATGTTCAGACCGCATATTCGAGTTCCTTGGCGCAACAGGTCCAGATGGAACGACACCGCTTCCTGGCAAAGAGTCCTTCACCTCAGCCCTAATCTGGGCACTAGAACAACTCGCAGACGAGCATGCGCGCTTCATGTCGAATGAGCTGCTAGAAAAGATATTGGAAGCACCACACTTCCACCTGCAAGGTCAGGTGCCCTGTATGAATGGGCGCGGGCCTCATTGTGTGCGCAAGCTTATCCTCGAGCCCATGGACTTGGGCGAAGAGAAGCCTAGGGCCAATGCACAAGGCAGACATGAAGAGGCCTCCGAGATTTTCAAATACTGCCTAAACCTACAATTCTTGCTCCCTGATGCGCCGAATGATGAGGATATCAAACGAATGTGCGGGAGTCTTCGGGAATTGATTCTCACAGATCGCTTTTGCGCACGCCAGATTTTATGGCAGGGGTTGTACCCTAAAGAGCATGCCAGAGCTGAGTTTCCCCGCCTGGTCCGTGAATTTGCGGCGCGATGGCAGAACAAGACACTCAAGAAAAAGCTTCGGATACTTTCACCTCATGAAACCTTTAAAGAAGAGGAAGCTCAGAGGGGTACAGCTGAAGTTCGCAGAAATGCCCTTAATGACAATGAGAAAGCGGTACCCACTAGTAGTCATTCGAACGGGGATCCGATGAGCTCGATGTACCAGATCCGCCGGTAGCTGGCTACCCTGCACGTTCTAAGAGATTGCATATAGCATGCGATTGAAGCCCTTCCCGAGCAGAATGGTTGGCAAGTTTTGGCGTGCCATATTTATCTATTTTGGTCACATACTTGCATCCACTACAGACGCTTTTCATTCACCTTCGCATGCAAGGCGGCGGATTTGGCAGTGCAAGTATCTTGTGTGATTGGTAACTGATAGTAGAGAGCAACAAGGCAGCCAGGGCTGACACCACTACACTGCTGCTGCCGCCGCCGCCTCTCGCCGGGATCGCATGGGGTCCGAAATCATGAGTCAGAGACTCTTTGCCACCTCACCTAGCATTTAAAGCTTTGCCTAGTCGCTGTTCATCTTGACCTCTCGCGGCTGGCTACAACGCTTTTGTTACGAGCTCCAAGAACGCCTTGGGCTATCGATATAATACCATCAGTGGAGAATGCAGAACCCAATGGAGGTAGAGGAAACATGGGTATGTTGAGTCGTACTCGACGTTTCGGATTCCTTCTGATCCTCCTGCACAGATCGAGGGATCACCTGAACCACCGGGACGGTCAGAAGTTTCTGACCTTGGGGCTAAAGCGGCAGCAGTAAATCGCGTTGCCGCTTGTTTACTGGCTCCCTCTTGCTGACTCGCGCCAATTCGCAGGAGAAACAAGAAAAGCTCGTGGGTGATGACGTCTTTCTTAAGGGTACACCACGAGGCACAGTCAAGTTGCATGTCGCAATGAGAGACTTAAGGACAAGAAGTGGTGGTTGCAGCTCAAATCATCAAAGGAAGATCTCCTGTACTACGATAACGGGGCTTGGTACTCGCAGAAGAAGGTGTCAATGGCCAAAAAGGGTCCCAAGCACGATATCTAAGTGAGGGTGTTGGTAGAGCTGGGTGAGCTGCATCCGCCCTTATCTTTCCTGTGTAACAATAGTAACACATGGACACATGCCTGGGGCCACCCCTCAATTCCTGTGGTGAGGCCCTGCAGCCTAATCAGCCTGGTTGCAGCTATAGCATGATCGGGCTGCAGATTTTATCGAATCCATCCCTCCATCTGTTCTTTTTACATGATTGCTCAATCATGTATGAGGAAGGCCGAAAGGCTGGGAGATTATGCCTTGCATAGGATCATTATAGATAAAGAAGGGAGTTCTTCCCAAGGTATAGCATGCTGATTTATCAGTTCCCTATCAAAATCGCATTGCTCAGTCCAAGCTTGTTAAGCTGCTAAAGGATAGTAGGAGAAAATGGTGGTAAATCACAGCTCAGAAGATATTGAAAATGGAATTGAGAGAGCAAGCACTGCCTGCACATCAACACACTCAACGGATGGTACACCAATTTCACCGAAATCAATCCCTTCGAGTCTTGTAAGACTATGGCAACGAAGCAAGCCTGCTGGTTAGATTATCACCAAACTAACCTCAACGTGTCTGCTGAATTGAGTAGCAAACCACAACGACGAAGAAGACAAACCAAAAACCCGATGGTGGTGGGAACTAAGACTCGGTCGCCGTGATAACTCAGCTGAAGAACGAGAAGATGATGAGGATGGTCGGCAACCGGTTGTGAGGCGACGTGAGCGCAAGGTCGTCGTCTACAGAAAGTACCTACTAAGTTTCGTCAGTTCAAGATTGTCCAGATGGATATCCGCGACTAGGAGCTTTCCTAGATAGTGACGAGAATTTCATGGTTTATCGCCGATTGGTTATCTGCAATCTAGGCTTCTTCTTGAGAAGCAAGAACACCTGCGGCAACTCGAAGACGAACTCGACAGATTGGACTTGGATGACGCCGAAAAAAGGCCAAGACAACTGACAACCATGGAGAACTATAATCATGAACAGCACAAACCGCGGCGCAACCTCATGCGAAGGATTGATCGTGCATTCCGTGCGTACGGTACGGGCTGTACTATGAGAATATCGTATCATAGGATTGACCCAGTTGAGCAGCATCCCTTCTTCAGGCTGCTCAGTCACTCACGCATTGTAACCGCCCGTCTTCTGGCGAGTATAAAAGCGTGGAGAACTTTGTGAACAACAGACACCCACTAGTACCAACAGAAGAGGAATTCTGCTATCGCAAAGATGACCTCATCACATTGCGTCCAGGCCGCGAACATGCGTGGCTAGACTGCTCTGTGGAGAAGTTTTTGCGGTTCTCGCGATGCCGAACCATTCAGGTATGTCAAGTCCTTGTGTGATTCGCCTGCCCGCGATTAATGCTTAGCCAGAACTTCTTTCGCTCGAAAGTAAGGATATCAGACACCAGAAAGATATTCAACCAATGATACATGTTACAGGAAACGAGGCAAAAAACCGACGGCAACGAGATGTATTACACTCACGACCGTATTGAGCGTTTTGTCGTTGCCATCATTGTGACCGTGATTCTTGCACTTCTGATTATCCCCATATATCTCCTGTACCGCCTGACCAACGGTGTGGAGTCGCCGCAGTCATATACAGTCTGCATTGGCATTCTGCTCATCTTCACGCTTTCGTTCTCGGCATGCCTGTCGCTTTTCACAAGAGCTAAGAGGCATGAGATACTTGCTGCCGCCGCTGCGTAAGCCAGCGATTGAGAAATAGCTTATGTAGAAAGAATATCCGCTAACGCTTCACAGATATTGCGCTGTTCTCGTGGTATTCTTGACAAACGTGGGCGGTAACGGTAGCAGCCGGCGCGATGTCAGCCTCTGAGGTGTTGTGAAGTTTCATTCCAGGTCCACATTGATCTACTACCTGGCAGGACATTGATTGAAGGTCTGTGCTTGGGACTTTCTCATCAGCAGAGAGCTTGGTAACGAGAGGGTAATATTCCTTCAGGACTTGAGGCCAAAATAATTTTATGGCACAACCACCAGCACCGATCATTCTGAAATCAGCAGTGTCTGGGAAGAGTATGGGTTGACGACTCTGGTTGAAAATGGGAGATGTCGTCAACTCCGGAATAAAGCAATTTCTCTTATAGAGAAGGGAAAAATCTCATGGATGATCAAAATATTGAAGCGCAGTAAACTATAAACTCTCTACCTGCGGTAGTATCTGAGACAGGAAGAACTTCAATCTTTATCATTCAAATCTCCCCGGTGTACGAGTGAGTACCCACGGTTTGCAAAAGGCCATATCTACTTTTCTGTCGTAAAATTTGACAATTTTATTCATTGGTTGATAGAGCCGCTAGTGTTTACTCAAAGTGACATTAAGTTCTGACAGATACCTCTCATTTGGTGGCGGTTGTTCAAGTAAACACTAGCGGCTCTATCAACCAATGAAAAAATTGTCAAATTTTACGACAGAAAGGTGGATAGTTTCACAGTCGAGGAAATTGGAATTGTCGTCTTCCGAGTTAGCTCGGTGGTAGAAAGTGAAGTAGACAGTTGCAATGAAAGATTTGAACAACCCAGATATCTGCATGAAGCTAGCATGTTATCCAGAAAAGTGAGGCAGACACAAATATGCACTAGACAGGAACTAGTATCACTGAAAGGAAGAAGCATGAAAAGGATGGCTAGTTGCTAATACCACACCAGACCATCGCCCTTGTTGTAAGTACTTCATAAAGGGTTAGTTTTGCCCCATTTCTATGAAAGAACAACTTAGTGTCAGACATACTACGGCTACAGGCCTAATTTTTGGTACCTCCCTGCTGAAAACATTATTATCCGTACAAAATGTATCTTGTAGAATTGAGTATAAACGCCCACGAATAGCTCAAATAGGACTAGTCGCTAAAATCAGTTTTTATTTTCCATTAACATTTTCAACTGCCTACCATCTCGCCCGTATTGACTGAAGCAGCTCCTTAAGATAGTCAGAAGTCACAGCATCACATGCAGCATCAACAGCCGCTTGTAGCTCATCGTACTTGTGTAGGGTATCTCCATAGACTTTTATCCAATTTTTCATCCAATCCAGTCTTTGCAGGATGAGCAAAATTCACGCAGAATAGCGACAGGGATGCTGACAGGGATATGTATGTAAAAAGGTGTTTGTAAGATACTTTGACTTGGGGGGGGAAGGGGTAGTACAAAAATTAGGCCTGTAGTAAGCTAGTTTACGGTCCTCTAAGGGCCGCTGTCACTTTGGTCCTCCGGTCCAACAGTTAGTAACCAGCACATTCTGCGCACCGTCTCTTGGTCCAGACTAAATTGCTCCATCAAGCATTAGTTTCTCCTCTTAAGGTGACGTGCTACGACTTTACTACGTAAAAACTCCAAGGAGCTTATATCTAGCGTGTCAGATTATTTTGTCATGTTGGTGATAAGAAATGGTCCCAATAATGCATGCTGGAAACTCGAGTAGAACATAATCAATAGACATCATATTCACTTGATGACAAGCTATAGACAATCAAAGATCATATTGTCTATTTGGATTGCTAGGGAAGGAAATAGAAGCTAGAGCAGCGTTCAAACCTTCGTATGGTCAAGTACTACTCAACAGGAAGAGGCCCTCAGAAAGTGACGTTTGAGCCTAATCGTGATATGATCTACCTTGCATGATAGAAGTATGCAGCTAGACATCTAATATCCAATGAAATTGTGTTATTTTGGACATCTTTTTCTCTAAATTAAGGCTATATAATGATCAAATTAAGGTCATTCGAGCCCTCTGATGATCCTTGACAACTCGTCTGCTAAATTGCTAAAGGCCAATACTGTCAGGAGAGCTATAGTTGGGCCTAATTATATACTCTATATACATGTCCGTGCCCCTTATCTCGCTGAGGCCAGGTACAGACAACTGTGGGTACCTGTCGTCAGTGATGGCTAGAATAGCGGCGGGGAGCTGGGTCTGAGATGAGCTCTGTGAGCCATGGTCAGTGCCACAGGGAATATGGTCCTTGGCGTAGGTCGCGGGAGGATTCGTAACATCACCCCCTCTCTATGTGTGAGCTCCTGCAAGCGTAGGTCCTTGTGGTGCTGTAGTGGGGCAGGGATTTTCATGGTGGTCTTATGACAGTTAGGCTCTTGTGAATCTTCTTGAGCATTTCTAGGTGATTATGGACATCTGTGGGCATTCATAATTAGCTGTGGTTTCTTTGACTTGCTGCAGAGAGAAGAGATTTCTACTAGAGAAGCTGCAAGAAAGAAAAGGCTATAAAGCAAAGGAATTCGGAGAGCTTTAAAAGAGTAAGCATATAACTACGTTTTAGAACCTTAAGAGTGTATTTACTAAAGCTGCAGATATCCTACGCTATTTTAATCCTACAAAGATCTTATATATATTTCTTAATACGTCAAAAGAGCTTAGTTTTGGCGTTATTATATATTAACTATACTAGGCATGAGGAGTCTATAAGTCGACTTATAGAAAAGCTAGGAACTCCGAAAGAGAAGGCAGATACCCTAAAGCCTACCGAGGTCTATCTTTTCAAGCCTACAAGCCGCCAGAATAAGAAATCGGCGCGTATCTTTATAGAGCGTATTACTAATGCTCAGAAAATCTATTAAAACAACGCTTCTAAGCTTGCTATGCTTTTATCTCGTTGCCTAGATAATGTTATATTTATAGTTTTTGCTTAGCTTTAAACTAGTTTTATATAGTAATAATTTAAGAGTTCTTTTATAAATATTAAGATATCTTTTATATAAAAATTAAGAAAGGTCTTAGCTTAATTAAAGCTTATTTTAAAATTAAAGCCTTTATTAATAAAGAATAAAAATATACTTATAAATTTTAATTTATAATTATTTATAATAAATTTAATTAATATAATTTATTTAGCTTAGTTATCTTATATATAGTGCCCTTAATAAGCTTGTATTAAGCAGCTGCTTATTGTTCAAGCAGCTAGGATATAGATTTCTATCTTCTTGTAATATCTAGCGTAAGTACTTGTATAAGAGCGCTACGCGTTACAGCGTCGTCTTGTGCGAGGAAACCAAGCGAAATCCACGGCCTCGTACACAAAACGCGTGTGCCAGCACACGTTAAGCTGCGACCGCAAATCAGGGGACACTGGCTTTTGAAAACCACCCGACTCTTGGGTATCTGACTCGTACTCAGACCCGAAGCAGCTCTTACAGGCTGTGGATGTGATATCGTTCTATGGATGTGATATCATTCTATCTAAGAGATAGGACACCCTTGTCTTGTCCCCTTCTAGGTTTGTACAGCGTGTGTAAGTAAGCAGCGCTATACAGCAAGGAGAGGGAAATCCTTTAGTACAGACGAATTACTAATATTTGGCAGAACCTTATTAAGGCTCAGAGCCTCCTATATAAAAAAGACCTTATTAATACCTCCGGACCCTTGTTAAAGCGTAGCCACAGGTGACTACAAGACACAGGCATACTTTAGAGTACTCTGCTCTATAGAAATATAAGTAGTCTATAAATAAGAGGAACTTAGAATAAGTTATAATGTGAAGCGCCTATATAAAGAACCTTATTAAGGCCAAAGAAACCTTGTTAAGTACGCAGCCATAGGCACCTTTTTTAGAGACACAGAAAAGCTAACATATAAGGGTAACAAAGCGGTATAGCAGCATCTGTTAAGTCGTTAAGGACACAAGTTTAATTAGTAGGCGAGGACACATATATAGCTGGCTTGTGTATATAATGTGAATCGCCTACAAAACATAGTCAGTCTATATAAAGGAGACTTCTATAGATAACGCGAAGCAAATAATCTTTAGGTTTGATATAAGACGTAATATATAATAGCAGCCACTAAGGAGACTATCTATGTAGCCTAAGAGGACAGAATATATATATTAGTATATAAAGAGTCTAGATTAGCTATCTCACTTATACTAGGAGCCTGTGACAACTATACATTCTATATACGAGTTAAAGCGATATTGTTCTAGCTGACTGCTAGTATTATATGCTTATAGAGTAAACTATAACTAGAGTATAAGCTAGGACTTAGGTTACCTAAACCCTGAAGTATGCTTTAAAGACAAGAGTTTCTATTACAAAGATAAGGTGAGTTTAGAACATACAGGAAAGCGTAGCAGAGACCTTATAAGAGGATGCGGACTCTGCATTATATTAGTTAAATAATATAATAAGGTTGTTAGCTTTGTAGACTTCCTCTTTAAACAGAACGTTTCAGACATCCTCTCATCATCCTGCGAGTACGGTTAGAGAAGACAGACTGCCTAACATATGGTTATAGACTGCCTGCTGCTCTCAGACAAACACAAAATGCTTACCGCTGCTAGCACAACAGACTACTGTTGTCTCCTTGACGATCCAAAGGCCCTTAAGATAGTAACGCTTTGGCTAATAAAGACTAGGGCCCTTCCTTAGTTCTCGTTTGCGGCTGAACAACTTTGCGCCTAACTATACTGCAGCTACAGAGCTCTGTGCACACTGTCAAAGCGCCCTAAAGAACTCGTCTACTTACTAGCGGTAAGGTTTTTTCCCTAGAAAGGTTTCCTTACGTTTGTTCTTGTTTGTTATTAAAAGTTATAACTACTCTTAATTGTATATATCCCTCGCATAGACCAGCCCTAGGCCAGGACCACATTATTCTAGAATTTACTAATAAACTATAGATCTCTATCAGATATTATTAACTTAAGGAGGCTATAACTATAAATAATAAAATAAATAAATATCCTGACTAGATATTCTATTTTTATATTATAGCAGAGTGCTAGGTGTCTCTCCTTAGTTAATTAGTTTATTAAGACCTAAATGCTTATAGTATTAAGGAAAATGCTATTAGATTTAAGGAAGTCTATA